CGGGTGCGGTGGCTCACGCTTGTAATCCCAGTGCTTTGGAAGGCCGAGGCGGGGGGATCACGAGGTCAGGAGTTCAAGACCAGCCTGTCCAATATGGTGAAATCCTGTCTCTACTAAAAACTACAAAAATTAGCCTGGCCTGGTGGCACGCCTCTGTAGTCCCACTACTCAGGAGGCTGAGGCAGGGAGAATCGCTTGAAACCGGGAGGCAGAGGTCGCAGTGAGACAAGATCGCGCCACTGAACTCCAGTCTGGCGGCAGAATGAGACTACAACTCAAAAAAAAAAAAAAAAAAAGATAAACAAAATGTGGTACATATACATACAGAGAAATATTATTCAGCCATAAAAGGGATGAAATTCTGATGGATGCTACAACATGGAATAACCTTGAAAACATTATGTTAAGTGAAAAAGGTCAGACAGAAAAGGCCAAATATTATATGTTTGTATAATTATATTGTGTGACTCCACTTACATGAGGTACCTACAATAGGCAAACTCATAGATAGAGAAAATACACTAAAGGTCACTAGGGCTTGGGGAAAGGGAGGAATGGGGAGTTATTGTTCAATGGGAATAGAGGTGTTTTGGGTTTTGGTGTGGATGGGGTTTGAGACAGGGTCTCACTCTGTCACCCAGGCTGGAATGCAGTGGTGTGATCTTGACACACTGCAGTCTTGACCTCCCAGGCTCAAGCAATCCTCCTGCCTCAGCTCAGCCTGAGTAGCTGGGAGTAGAGGCACACATCACCATGCCTGGCTAATTTTTATATGTTTTGTATAGACAGGATTTTGCATGTTTCCCAGGCTGATCTTGAACTCCTAGACTCAAGCAATCCTCTCACCTTGACTCCCAAATTGCTGGGATTACAGGAGTGAGCTACTGCTCCCGGCTGAGAATAGGGTTTCAATAAGCAATGATGAAACATTTCTGGAGATGGATGGTGGTGGCTGCACAATGCTGTGAATGTACTTAATGCCGCTGAATTGCACACTTAAAAATGGTAAATTTTTGTTATGTATGTTTTCCCACAATTAAAAAATTACTCAAAAAAATACAATGGGTTACTTCCACTTAGAGGCCTAAAAGGTCACCTGGCCAAGAATAGAAGCACGTGGGAGGCTGATTCATTTTCTTCCAGCTCAATCCAATGAATGAACCAATGAATAACGAGTCTCATGAATAAGCTGGACATGAATGACCAAAGAGCCTCCCTGCAGGCAGTAGATGTTGCTCTGCCAGGAGGACTACTGCAAGACTCTCAGGGTCCCGCCCAGCTGCATGGTCTTTGGATGGGCTTTGGAGTCACACAATCCAGAGTTTCAATTCAGTGCCATGGATGTCTATCTGGAGGCTGTGGTGGGCCATTTCCTGGCCATGGCCTGCCTCATTGCCTCCTCCTTACAATGGGGCAATACCCTTTACCCCTAGCCTTGTTAGGAAGAATCATTAAGGTTGCTTTTGTCTGCTCCCTTTACATCCATTCTAGGCACTCCCTCTGCATTCCCCCTCATCCAGTCTGTCTGGGATTGCATCAGGGCCTCTGCATTTCCTATGAGCTTCCAGCCTGTGACTCTGCCTTTCCTGGCAGGTCCCTTCATCCCCATCCTCTGTCATTGCCTCTGACCTGCAAATTCTCCCTTCATCCTCATCACACTTGGCAAGGTGAAAATGAAGATACCCTTTTTACAGATGGGAGACACAAAGGCACAGAATGACGAAGCAACTCACCCAAGACTATGGGCTAGTGAGTGGAGTCTGCCTGTCTCCAGAACGGAGTTGCTCCTTCCCCAAGAGTAGCAGAGCAGTTACAAACCATAGGAATTGGTGGGCTGGGGTGTACGTCCCCTAAGCATCAGTATCTGGGGGAATGAGAAAATTCAGAGGAACTTCAACCTGCGATGCTGGAAAGAGTGCAGCACAGGAAGCCGGAGTCTTGTCACACCAGCTGTCTCTGGATGCTTCCCCAACCTCCAAGAGCCGCCCTTGTCCAGGAACCAGATAGAAAAATACCTGCACTACTCACAGCCCAGGATTGTGGTGAGGTGCCAGGAGTGCAGGGAAAGGGCTTTGGAGACCAGAAAGCGCTTGGTCTCCTGAAGACTGCACCACTGCTGCTACTGAATAAGCACAGAGAGTATTCCCACCTAGCAGGAGGAGTGGGAAAGGGAACCAAGGCAATCTCTCCAAAGCTGAACATTGCCTCTTTCCTTCCTGGTGAGCCAGAAGGTGCCTAATACACAGCCCAGTTTCCCCAGGGCCACCCTGAAACAGACCCAACTGTTCCTGAAAGTGCAGGAACTATCACGTGGCTCTCCAAGTTGTAGAAGAAGCACTTAGAAGCAGCCAACCAAAGGCCTTCTCTAAGCAGTGACATTAGAATGACCAACACAGGCAACAAAGCAATCTCTCTGGGGCCCAGTAAAATAGAAGTTATTTGCATGAAAAACAAACAAGCAAAACAACACAAAACCCCCAAACATCCACAGTGCGCTTCTGAGAACTGCTGAGAAGCAGGTCCGAGCAATCAGCTGTTGCAGCAGCCTGAGGATGAGGATGCTGACCCAGCTGATGGGGGGACAGGGGATCATCCAGAACCCCTTTGGTGACTTATTTCCTCATCCAGGAGATGAAGCATCAGGGAAAAGACAGCCATGGCATTCTTTGTGCCTCAGAAAATCAGGAGGCCTAGGTCTGGTCTGACCAAAGGGCTGGCCCTGCTTCTGTGACGGAAGCTTGCATCTCTTTGAGTGGCGTCCTGTCCCTAGTGAAAAAGAGGTGGTGGCTCCTGAGGGTGACCCAGAGCCAGAGCTGGAAGGGACACTCACTTGTCCAAGATGAAGTAGAGGTCAAATGAGCCCTGGCATCTGTGACCTGCTTGCCCCTGGCGCAAGTGCTGCCTCCATCCTGGGCCATGGTGGTGGTGGGCCCTCCTGGAGCCCAGGGCCAGGCATTGAAACATTCTCCAGCCAGGTCCATGGTACCGAAGGCTTCCTGCTCTAAAAAGCGGTGGAGGAAGCAGCAGCAGGAAGAGCAGGAAGCAGGGCCCCCAGCGGCCATGGCTCCTCATTATCTGGCCGTCCCTGTGACCCCACCTCACTCTTGGGTGCCTGTGCCAGGGCCCAGATAGGCTGAGCACAGGCCACCTCTGGCCACCTTCTCTGGCGCCTCCCCTTATGCCCAAGGGCCACACCCTTCCTCCTGCCCTTTCACCAGTGCACACTGCGGCCCTTCACCAGGTACTTCCCCAGATCGCAGGAACTAGGGTCAGCAGCTGGCTCTGGGAGACTTGCCTCCAGCTACCTGCCTGGCCCTTCCCCTACCCTGGGGACAGAATTCCTTTATGGTTGACAGGAAGGTTGACATGGTGACTTTGTGACCTGCAGCTCTTCCCAATATCCTGCATATTGACACCACCAGAGGGGAGGCACAGGACCTTTGGAGGGGCTACAAGAGGAAGCCTCCATTTCCCTTATAACAGCCCTCACAGTGTCCCTTAAAACCACTAGACCCTGCCATTTGTTCACTGGAAGAGTTAGCCCAGGTGACAGGTGAGGACATTGCTGTGGGTGAGGAGGTCAAGGACTGGGAGGCCAGAGTGTTGGCAATGGGAGGTTATTTGTATGACACTTAAGTCCCCCAGGAGATGGCAGATCTGGAAGAAGATGGAAACTGTGGTGTTGCCAGAGTCCTTGTGAGTGAGGGACATTCCAGTTCTCTACTGCTGTGTACCAGACCACCTACATTTAGAGACACACAACAGGCGCATTTTATTACGCTCACAGGTTCTGAGGATCAGGCACTCAGGGCAGAGTAGGGAGGGCTTCCTCATGTCTGGGGCCCCAGATGGGAAGGCTTGAGCAGCCCGCATGACTTGAAGGATTGGGCACTGGAATTATCTGGAGGCTGCTCCACTCACAAGTGTGGCTCCTGGGCAGGAGGGCTCAAAAGCTGGGCTCAGCTGGAGCTGTGAATGGAGACCCTGCATGTAACCTCCCCATGTGACCTGGGCTTCTTCCCAGCATGGCAGCTTCAGGATGCTTGGGCTTTTACAGGTGGCCCAGAGTTCCAAGAGTGTTTTCAGTGAGCACGGCAGAAATTGTAGAACTTGTTATAACCTCACTTTGGAAGTCACACAGTGTCACTTCCACTGTACTCTATTGGTCCAAGCAGTCACAGCTGCCAAGAGTCAATGGGAGGAACACAGGCCCCCTCTCTAGGGCAGGAGTGTGGACGAGTTCACATCCCAGTGTCAAAACTGCAGTAGGGGCTAGGCGTGGTGGCTCACACCTATAATCCCAGCACTTTGGGAGGCCAAGGCAGGCGGATCACCTGAGGTTGGGCGTTCGAGACCAGCCTGGCCAACATGGGGAAACCCTGTCTCTACTAAAAATCCAAAAATTAGCCAGGCATGGTGGTGCGTGCCTGTAATCCCAGCTACTAGGGAGGCTGAGGCAGGAGAATCGCTTGAACCTGGGAGGCGGAGGTTGCGGTGAGCCAAGATCACGCCATTGCACTCCAGCCTGGGCAACAAGAGCAAAACTCTGTCTCAAAAAACAAAAAACAAACCAACAAAAAAACAAAAAACTGTACGACCAATGCTTTGAGTGTGTGGAAAAACGTGGGCACTGATGAATGAGATTCAAACAGACTCAGAAAAGTTAGACTGTGACTGTTAGAAACACCTTAATTGGCTGGGCGCGGTGGCCCAAGCCTGTAATCCCAGCACTTTGGGAGACCGAGGCGGGCAGATCATGAGGTTAGGAGATCTAGACCATACTGGCTAACACAGTGAAACCCTGTCTCTACTAAAAATACAAAAAAATTAGCGAGCATGGTGGCGGGCGCCTGTAGTCCCAGCTACTCAGGAGGCTGCGGCAGGAGAATGGCCCCCAGGGAGGCGGTGCTTGCAGTGAGCCAAGATTGCGCTGCTGCACTCCAGCCCGGGCGACAGAGCGAAACTCCGTCTGAAAAAATAAATGAATAAATAAAATAAAATAAGAAACATCTTAATTTTATTTTGTATGCACAAGAGTGATATACGATTAAAAATCCTTCTCTAATGAATCTAAAACATATCCTTCAATATGTGTAACATACAAATTACCAGTGATAAAAAGTATTGGGTTAGTTTGGTTTTTTGTTATTTGATTTTTTTGTTTTGGAATTGTATTTAATATAACGGAGTATCTTAAATAAGGGGCATTTCGGAATGAATGAAGCCTGGTATGTTTCCTTCAAAAGCGTATTTGAGCTATCTTGCTTCATATTCCTCTTGACAGTTGATATTAGCATACTTTAACATTTTTGCCTGGTGGTTAGTCATCTCCTTGTGATTTACTTTTTTATTTATTTTTATTTTTTGTAGAGACAGGGTCTTGCTATGTTTCCCAGACTAGTCTCCAACTCCTGGCCTCAAGGGATCCTCTGGCCTTGGACTCCCAAACGCTGAGATGAGAGGTGTGAGCCACCCTCACTACCCTCTTTGTGGTCTTAATTTGCGATTTCCTAATTACTAATGGGAACTGGTCACCTACTCACTTGATTTTGGTCGTTCATGGTTCCTCTTTGAAGTGCCTAATGACGGCTTTAGATGTCTTGGCTTTAGATGTCTTTGCTTTAGGTGTTTTTCTCTTTCACATTGATTCAGTAACAGTCTTTATATATTCTGGATATTAATCCTTTATCACTTGCTGCAAATATCTTCTTTTACGGTGTGGCTTGATTTTTTCACTCCATTTATCGTTTTTTAAACAACGCCTAAATTCTTAATTTTAAGGCACTTGAACTGTCATTTTCTACCCTGGGCCCCTCCCACCGTACTCCGGGAACAGCTAACTTCCCAGACACCTCTACGTTCCGGGGTCGCCGAGCCCGCCTTCCTGCGGGTCACAGCTGGGGCCTGGGAAGCGAAGGCCGCGGGTGCTCCTGGGAGGAGCTGAGCGTTTCGGATGCGGGGGAGGTGCCGCTAGCGGGGCCGCCAGGCCTCTCTTGTTGCCCAGGCTGGAGTGCAATGGCGCGTCTCGGCTCACCGCAACCTCTGCCTCCCGGGTTCAAGCGATTCTCCCGCCTCAGTGAGGTAAGGAGGGCCGGCAGGCCGCGGGGGTCCACGGCGCTGAGGGAGCCGCAGGCACCGGGCGCAGCCCTCGCCTATCGCTGAGGTCCGGCAGGCCCAGGAGCCAGAGGTCCGGGCGCCCAGGGTCAGAGGGCGGCAGCGAGAGCGGGCACCGCTTCCAAAGGACGCCCTCGCCCTCCTGCAGGGCCGGTCCTGGTCCGAGCCAGCTGGGGGCGGCTCCAGGGAGCTGAGCCGGAGTAGGGCCGGGCCGCCCGGCAGATCAGCAGGGAGCTTGCTCCTGGGTTGCGGTTACTCTGGCCCGCGGCGCCCTACCCGCCGGGGCCGCCCAACTGCAAGCCCCGCCCCGAAGGCGGGTGCAGCCAGGAAGGCGGGACTTGGTGTCCTCAGGGCGCTGGCGCCAAGTTCAGAGCCGCGCGCTGGGCTGGGCGGTGGGGGCGGCGTCTGCACCTCCTCCCTGTGCGCCGCCTGAGAGCCCGGGAGAGACGCGCGCTCAGGTCGGCCAAGACTGAGAGCAAGCGGGCGCAGGCAGCGGGGCCCATCTCACTTCCACGAAGGGCAGCGTTCTTGAGTCCTGCCTTTGACGGCGGCGGGGCGTGTTCTTCCCTTCCCTCTGTCAGCTTCCTCCAGCTCGCTCCCATGTCCTCTCTGAGTTCCATTGCTGCCCCTGTCCCTTGCCTCTCTGCTTCTTGTCTCCTTGTCCTCTCCTGTTTCTCTCTCATCTCTCCCTTTTTCTCGTGTCTGCTTTATTGGCTATTTTCCTGTCCTCCTTTGTCCTTTTTCCCTCTGTCTCTCTTTCAGCCTCTCCCCTCACGCCCACTTCCACTCTCTCTATAGGCTTCCTTCTCTTTTGCAAGACAAAATTCTTCTTAGGTTTTTCCCCTAAGGTGACTTCTTGGCCATAATTGTTTGCATCCCTTCCCTCCGCCCACCGCCAATCCCTCTCTCTGTTCATCTTGTAGTGCCCCATTATTCTCATCCAGGGCTTGTGCTAGGTGCTGGCATCATCAGCCAGATCCTTTCTCCAATAGATTATATCCAAAGATCTGCACATGTAACCCGTTCAGTGCCTTTCCTGGGAAAAAATACATAGATGATCAAATTATGAATCTCTGAATTTTCAGGGTTACCTGAAAGAAAATACCTGGTTTTAGATACAAGACAATTGAATCCTTTTCTTGACATTTTGCCTTTACTCACAGAGGTACAGACGGCACAGCAGGAAGCTAAGCCTTGCAAAAGCTTTTAGGGGACATTGCCACCCACACCTTCTGTGCAATGCCAGGTGCAGGGGAGGGAAGGGACAGGATACAGACCTGGGTTATGGGAAGACGGTGGAAGGCCAGGGCTTTGCACTTGAAACCTTTGGGTGAGACTGACTGGAAATGAGAAATAAACAGTAAATTTCTAAAATATGTAGTTGCTTTGCCTCCTTAGAAATAATGGAACCTGATGTGGTGGTATATTGTGATCTTTAATGATATTCCAGCTTTTGACCAGCTTCTGTGGAACATCTCTACCCTGCCCTGCAGACTACCCTGTGACTGCTGGAAGTCCAGGCCCTTTGTTGCATGGAGAGGATGCAGACCACGTGCTGCAGCTCCCATGCCCTTTCTGAGCAGATTCCTCAGAGGGGGTGCCTCACATCAGAGATGAATTTCAGCCACTGTCTCCCAAAGAGGCAGATACAGAAACGTCACTCCTCTCAATGACCCTGAACAAAGCGCTCAACCTCTCTGAGCCTCAGCTTTCCATCTGTAAAATGGGCTCGGGCTAAGTTGTCTCTCCAGTCCATCCCAGACCTACACATGTACGACTAGTTGGATGAAGCCAGTTCTCCCCCTTTCTCCAAGAAAAACTGGTATGCTTGAAGCCCCATTGCTGAGCTTCCATGAGCTCCCACAGAGAGACATACACACTCACACACATACACTCACACATACCGTCACATATACAGACACACACACAGTGACACATGCACTCACACATACACACACGTATACATATACTCAGAGACACATAAACTCACCTGCACACACACAAATTTACACACATGCATATACATTCACACACACACGCAATCACACATACACAAATACACACATGCACTCCCTTACACAGGCTTGCAAACTCATGCTCACTCTTTTTCTCACACACACACACACACACACACACACACACGCACACACATCTCCCCAGTATAGCTAGTATTGTTCCTAGGTACAGCAGCCTGCCTGTGTCATCCTTCTGGTTCTGCTGCACCCGGCACCACCTCCGCAGGCGCCCCGCTGGGCTGTCTTCATGGCTGAGACAAAGTTTGCCAACCACAGCCATGCCGCCCTGAACAGGAGAACTGTCCAGCATGCCCAGAGTTAGGATGTGACAACCCTCTTCTCAGCACTAGAAATGGGGACACAAGGTGTCACAGCAGGACAGAACATTTGCTGTCAGGATGCTTCACCGTATAACATTAAGACTTAACATTTTTTGACTACGTAAGTGTCTACATGACAGATGCTCCTACAGCTTATTTTATTTAATTTTCACAACCACATGAGGTCTTGATCCAAGTGAATTTATCTTCAACCTGACAAATGTCATCCTGATAAACTCAGGGCAGCATCCCAGCTTTTAGAGACCATAGTGGATTTGGTCACTGCCAACTGCTGATTTAGATACCCCACCCAGCTTCACACTCCAATGCTAACATCCAGATCTGAGTAAGAAGAATGAGGAGGAGGAGGAGAGAGCAAAGGAGAAGACGAATACGTAATGATGAGAAAGCGAGGGAAGATGAAAAAAGGAAGGGGAGACATAATAATAGCAACGAGGAAGAAAAGGAGGAGAGAAAATGAGGAACTATCTGGGGACCTTTCATCCCACCCAGGACCCGCGAGGGTCACTGCTGTTGCTGCATCAGCACCATATGGAGTAAGGTCAGAGAGGCCAGGGCACAGGATGTCCTCCAGAACCCCAACAGAACAAGGGCCAGATCAAAGTCCCTCAAGGTGGAAAATGACATGAGTCTGGCTTCCCCTCATGTCCGTCTCTCCCTTGCCTACAGACTCACAGCCTTCCGCTTACTCTAGGATCATTCCCAGGGTCAACATCAGATTTGAGTCTCACCCACCTCCAGGCTTCATCCCCAATGCCTCTCCCACAGCACCTCAGATCTCATTCCAGGTCACACCATGCCCTGGCCAGGGCGTTCTCTGGGTCAGGGCCCTGAGCACACACAGCAGCCCAGCGCTGCCTGGCTCCTGCTTTCTTCCAGGGACCCGCCTGCGCCCTTTGCACCTGCAGATCCTCCTCTGTCCAGACCACTGTGGGCACAGTGCAGCTGCACCTTCCTCCCCTTCAAAGACACCAGCTGCCCTAGACGGCGATGGATCTATGAAGCCCTTGTTCTCCTTGCTCTGAACATGATATGAAAAGATGCTTTGTGGTCGTCAGCTCTCCTCATTAGGCTCAGCTCATGCCTGCGCTCTTGCCCCCTGACACTCTTTACTGACCCTCGTCACTCTGTCATTGTGAGTGTCCTGGGAAGGGCTCCTCTTGGCTCTCGTCCCTCTGACCTCAGCAGGACCTCCCTCTGAACCACACAGACATCTCTCATTACCACCCCACATCCTTCCTACTTGGAAGAACCAGATTAATTCCAGGTCTCCCCCACTGCTTTGAGAGTCCCCAGATCACAGGAAATCAAGTGATGATCTTTGAAACTTTCTGAAACTGAGCTCCCCAAGTCTACAGGGGATCTAACCATGCCTCGCCTTCTCCACCAACACAGAGCACACCTCCCCAAGGCTCCCAACCCACATGGGCCACAAATCGGGGTCCGCTATTACCCAACTCAGCAGGTGTTGCAGCCTGGGAGATGAAGTCTCACCAGCCCCACCATGTTAAAAGCTCGTGGTTCTTGGTTTATCACCCATCCCCTGGGCCCTGACTGCGTACTGATCATTCACTCATCTGGGAACCACTGGCCACATTCTCCCACATTATACCTTAACCAGGTTGTTCCAGGTAACCGAGACTCCAATCCAGCTCTGCTGTATCCAACCTGTGACCTTGGGCAAAGTGTGGATCATCGCCATGCCTCTGCTGTCTCACCTGTAAAGAGGGTCACCTTGGCTCTCTCTTCACTGGATTGTTGGAAAGATTAGATTGATTAGTATAGTCAAAGTGCTAAGGAGCCTGGCTCAGTAAATGTTAGGGGGATCAGTTCTTATCACACTGAGTGCAAAGGGATAGAGTCCACTCCATGGAGGCTTTCCCATCACTCCTGAGCTCTCAGGGACCAGTGACCAACAATGTTTAATGAATGACCAAATGGCCTGGGCATTTTTCTTCTTCCCGCTCCAACTACAGAAGAAAGAACTCTTGGCAAACAGCTGGATAACCTCTTTTTCCTGAGATGTCTGAAGGCACCCGCCCCAAGCCAACTGGCCAGCCTCCAGCTGTTCTGAGCTGCAGGTCAGGCACCAGATCTTATTCAAAGACGCCATATACCCCCAACCCCCCACCGAGTGCTTTGCTGCATCTACCTTTCTCTTCAGCTAAAACAAGAGCAGAGAATACCTCCTGTCTTCCAATCCTTTGGTGTCCCCAGTCTCTGGAGAAGCTTCCCAGACTCTTTTGGAAGATTCCAGAGGACAATCATCTATGGGTCTCTTCTGCCTATGGATTATAAGGTCCTGGGGTTTCCTAAGAAAGGGAATACACCTGTTATCCTCCTGGCTCTGGCATATTGAAGAAACTAAACACTGAAGGTGATCCAGGCTTTTCCAGAGGCTGGCTGGTGGTGCTGGGGAGATGAGCACTTCCTGGCCAGCCCCTGTAGGCTCTGTGGCCAGCTATGCCTGGACCCTTCTAGCAGCAATGCCTGCTGTATTCCAGCAAAGCCAAGTGCAGGAGTCCCAGGATAAGGCAGCCCCCAGTCCTGCAGTGAGGGCGGCCCTAGTACAACACAGCTTGGCCACATGGACCCTCATAGGGGTGGATGCGATCCCATCACCCACTCAGATGCCCAAGACTGTGCAGAAGCAGGGCCAGTGAGAGCAGAAGGCAGATCCGGTGCTTCAAGGGGCCCTGCTGTGCGGATTGAGAGTCTGCCATGTACATGGCTGAAGATGGCCAGGGCACAGAACAGGGAGCAACAGCAAGTACTCATTGCCTATGGCCCAACAACGCCAACAGGCAATGAGTTGTGCAGTGTGGAGTGATATATCAGACATAATATGTGCTGAGGCTGAAGCAACATGGAAGTCACATAATGGGACTGAGTTAGCCCTCCGTGCTCTGCCTCCAGGGCATAACTTGTGTTCTAAGTCAGCCCTGCAACTCGCTACCTGCCTGACCTCAGGCAACCACTCTAGGCCTCCATCTCCTGATAAGTAAAACAGGAACGGTGATCTTCACTTCAGGGGCTCACTGACAGGACTCAGCAGGGCTCTGCGCATGCCAGGCAGCAAGAGCACAGGAACAGCAGCTCTCTTCCTAATACAACTAGAGAATAAAGGTGGAGCCCAAGATGGTGGTCCCAATTCCACTGGCAGCCTTCAAGGAAAAAGTCCGTGATTTTACTTCAGCTACACCTTCCGACCTTCCCAGGTTCCTATGATAGCATCACCCTAGGATAAAAGTACTGAAGCCCAAGACTTAACCTTGTAGTTTAAAAAAAAAAAAAAAAAAAAGATGTGATTAAATCTTTACCAAATGTGCCACCCACTGAATTTCTGAAAAGAAATCTGCTAAGCCAAGCAGATACGATGATTAAAATTATTTGAAAAGTATACCCCTTTCCCTAAAATTTTGATATGTTGGAGGTCAGCGATTAGATGATTTAAAAGGGAATTTAACTCTTTATTCCAGAAAAAGTCTCATAAATCAAAGTTCCATGCACAGACCTATGATTTTGTCCAACACTCTTTGATCTAAAGTGAGCAAATTCTTTCATTAAACACACTTTAATCTACTTTCATAATATTTAATCTCTGTTCATTTCTGTGTGATTTCTCTATGACCATATTTCCTTTTCTGCATCAACTGAAAAGTTAAATTAGCTCAACGATCACAATAAACTCCATCATCAGGTTAAATTATTTCTAAGAATCCCAACTTCAAGCTTTAGCTGGTTATTAACAAGATATATACACACACACACACACACATATACACACACACAAATATATGTATGGTATGTGTTTGAATATACAGACACATATAAAAACTCATTAAAAATGAAACCACATCTCTCTGACAAGATTACATTTTTTAACAAGCAGCAGCAAAAAATGCCTTGATGTATAATTCTTCTCTTTTATCCCTCATAAATGAATCTGACTTGGTTTTCTAGATTTTTTTCATTTAGTATGCATCTAAGACAAGTTTTCATATTAATGTAAAATATTTTTATCTTGGTCCTCCTGATGTACACAAAAAATTAATTTCAAATGCCAAAATTATTGTTATAAAATGTCTAATGTCTCTCTCAGGAGTAATTAGGTAACTTCATTTCTGTACATCAGTGACATTGGCAACTACATATTTTAGAAATTTACTGTTATTTTCTTATTTCCAGGCTCCCTCAAATGTTTCAGGTTGAAAGCCCTGGACTCCCACTGTCTTGCCACAACCCAGCTCTGTATCCTGTCCCGTCCCTCCCCTGCACCTGGCATTGCACAGAAGGTGTGAGTCTCCTTTAAATGCTTCTGCAAGGCTTAGCTTACTCCTGCGATGTCTGTGCCTATTAGTGAAAGGCAAAAGGTCAAGGGAAGAATGCAATCAAGCTGTGACTCTAAAACCAGATGTTTTCTTTCGGGTAACTCTGAAAAGTCAGAGATTTATAATTTGATCATCTGTGTATTTTCCCCCTGAACAAGTTACATGTCCAGATCTTTGGATATAATCTATTGGAGAAAGGATCTGGGTCTGATGCATGGTTCTTACCCTAGCAGCAAGCCCAAGAAGATAATGGAGCAGCATGTCATGAACGGAGGGATGGGTGGATGAAGAGAAACGCAGCCCAACATGTCTCCCTAGAAGAAAAAATAAATCAAAAGGAGAATTCTTGCTTGCAAAAAATGAGCGTTGGATAGGGAGAATGAAAGAGAGAGTGAGGGGGAGAGAGAGGGAAGAGACAAGACAAGGAAATAGCCAATAAAGCAGACACAAGAAAAAGGGAGAGATGAGAGGAGAAAGAAACGGGATGGGACAAGGAGACAAGAGGTAGAAAGGCAGGGGACAGGAACAGGAATAGGACTCAGAGAGGACCTGGGAGAATGCGGGAGGAAGCTGGCGACAGAGGGAAGGGAAGGACCCCACAGTCAAGGTCAGGACTCAAGGGCGCTACCCTGGGGAAAGGCAGGGGAAATGAGATGGACCCCGCTGACCGCTCCCGCTTGCTCCAGGTCTTGGCCCACCTGAGGGCGCTTCTCTCCCAGGCTGTCAGGCGGCGCGCAGGGAGGGAGATGCCTACGCGGCCGCCACCGCCAAGGGCCCAGCTCGCGGCTCTGAACTTGGCGCCAGAGCCCTGAGGGCACCAGGCCCCGCCTTCCTGGCTGCACACGCCTTCCGGGCAGGGCTTGTGGGTGGGTGGCCCCGGCGCGGGAGGGTGCTGCAGGCCAGAGAACCCGCAACCCGGGAGAATGCCTCTGATCAGCTAGGCAGCCCAGCCCTCCCCGGGCTTAGCTCCGCGGACCGCCCTCTGCTGGCTCTGACTGGGCCGGGCGCCGGCGCCTGCGGGAGGGCGAGGGCGTCCTTTGAAGGCGGCTCCAGCTCTCGCGGCCGCCCTCTGGCTCTAGGCTCCCCGACCTCTCACTCCTGGGCCAGGGGGGCCGCGGCGACGCGCCCCGTGTCTGTGGCTCCCTCTTCGCCGAGGACCCCCGTGGCCTCCCGGCCCTCCCTTCCCGCGCCACCTGGAGGCCCCGCGAGCGGCACCTCCCCAGCGCCCAAGTAGCCCAGCTCCTCCGGGAGCGTCCCGACGCCTCCGCTTCCCTGGCCCCTGCTGTGACCGCTCAGCACTTTGCCAGGAAGGGGGGCTCCGCGACCCTTAGAACATAGAGATGTCGGGGGACTTAACTGCCCCTGGAGGGTGGGAGGGGGCCAGGGCAGAAGGGCATGGTCTGGACGGAATGACAGTGGGTGGGTGGAGACTGCGCTGGGATTTGGAGGACCTGGGGTTTCCCGTGCAGTGGGGCGTGAGGGTAGATGGGGTAGAGTCTCAGGTAATTGCAGTTCTTGGTGCTGTTGCAGGCAAGTGTGCATGGTTTACCTTGCTTGAGCCCAGGGTGCAAAGCAGCTTCGTTTGGAGAAGGGAGAATTCTTGAAGTTCTGAAAGGGAAACCACCCCGAGTCCCTGCTCCCTCATTCATTAATTCCGTCACTCAGTGGGTGTTCTGACGTCGTAGGGGTGAGTGGGTGCGCGGAGATACCATGAGGAAGCGCCAAGTTTCTCTCCGAGGCTTTGGAGGGTCTGTTGCAAAGATGAGATCCTCAAGAACAAAGGTAAGTCTGAGGAGGGGGAAGTTGGGTTCAGAACATACATCGAAACCTTAGAGATGGTCCTGTTACAGGAAAGGGGTCCCCATCTAAACCCCAAGAGAGGGTTCTTGAATCTTACACAAAAAATAATTCAGGGTGAGTCTGCAGTGCAAAGCAAAAGCAAGTTTATTAAGAAAGTAAAAGCTACTCCATAGAGTGGGACGTTCCTGAAAGCAAAAGGTGGAAAGCCCCCATCCTAGGTACAATGCTTGTGTAGGTGGGTAGATGTGCTCTGCAAAAGAGTTTGTGATAAAGGATTAATTTTCTTAATTACTATATTTTGCAAGAATCAATATTATCTTTAAAGCAAAATTAGGAATGCCTTTGTTCTCCAGATATTGGGATATCTGGACACTCCCAAGTCTGGATCTGTTTAGTAAACTTTGTTAATTTGTTCCCTTAACTGTGAACATCTAGAGGCTAGGAATGCCTAGCTTTCTGAGAATGCAGCCCAGCAAGTCCCAGACTCATTTTCCTAGCCCTCACTCAAAATGGAGTCACTCTGGTTTGACTACCTCTGACAGTGCTAAAGCAAAACTTTACTTTTATGGAAGAGATAACATTGAGGAATAGAGAGAGACATCAAATCCGAAATGCAGAACATCAAAGACAAATTAAACAATTTGAAAGTCACCAAGCTCAAAACACAGATTTCCCAGGAAAGACTGGCAGTGAAACAGATGATAAAGTTGCCACAGCCACCAGTGATATGTCCTTGGGTGTCTCAAAAATAGAATTCTGTATCTATCTGGAATACAAAGTGTGAGCACAAAATGAAGGTATTGTCAGATGTGCAGAGTGTGAGTTTCTAACCTGTACAACCTTGATGAAAGGAGCAAGAAGGTATATTTCAGAAAGAAGGAAACAACTTGGAAGAGTGGAGTTCAAGAAACGATGGTGAGCAAAGAAGCTGGGAACACGCTGATTAAGGTGAGTGGCTAGATACGGAAAATAATGACCATCACCAATATGGGGAGTTTTCTGAAAATAAAAGGAAAGAATAATTTCAGAGTGGAGACCAGTTTCAGGAAAGTTTATCTAAGCAGCTGGGGAGACCTTGAGCCATCTGAGGAGTCTGAGATTTCCTAGGCATGGGCCTACCTTCATATCCCTGCTGGCCTCTGGCTGGAAGAAGCCTGTGAGGGGTGTGGTCTTTCTGTGAATGTGGTGGTCCACTGATAGAAAGTGGATTTCCAAAACACTCCCTTCCCCCAGTCATACTCCCCAGAGTCAGAGATCTGATTGGTGCAGTTTTGTGCTCCCCACAATGTACTCAACTTGCCATTTAAAGTCAGAATTTGTCTGCTAAAATCCAATCCAGCACCGTGGCTTATGCCTGTAATCCCATAGCTCTGGGAGGCAGATGTGGGAGGATTGCTTGAGGCCAGTCTTTGCAACATAGCAAGAACCTTTCTCTCAAAAACAAACAAGCAAACAAACAAAACAAAACAGAAAAACAAAAAAACCACAGAAAACAAAATTAGTCGGGTGTGGTGGCGCACACTATAGTCCTGCTTACCAGACTATGGGAGGCAGGAGGATCACTTGAGCCTAGAAGTTCCAGGTTATAGTGAGCTATGAGTGCACCACTGCACTCTAGCTTGGGCAACAGAGTGAGACCCTGACTCTTAAACAGAAATTGGCTGGGCACTGTGGGATCATGCCTGTAATCCCAGGACTTTGGGAGGCCAAGGTAGGCGGATCATTCGAGGTCAGGAGTTCGAGACCAGCCTAGCCAACATGGTGAATCCCTGTCTCCACCAAAAAAAAAAAAAATACAGAAACCAGATGTGTTGGTGCACACCTGTAGTCCCAGGTACTTGGGAGGCTGAGGCACGAGAATGTCTTGAACCCAGGAGGCGGAGGTTGCAGTAACCCAAGATCGCACCACTGTGCTCCAGCCCGGGCAACAGAGTGAAACCATGTCTCAACAACAACAACAACAGCAACAGCAACAACAACAACAAAAACAAAAACAAAACTAGCTATATATTTTCAAAAAGAGACACATCTAATACATAAGGACATAAAAAAGTTTAACATAAAAGGATGGGAAAAGATACAGAGATATGGTCGGGATGCTGGGGAAACTAAAAGGAAGTGGGAGTCTTCAGCACAGAGAAAGCGTGACCAGGGTTTGAGAGGATCAGTTCCCAATCAGCTGCGTTTTACAGACAGCCGTAACAATTCTAAACTTGCATGTGCCTAATAAAATAAAACAAAAAACATAAACTATAAGGAGAAATTGTGAAACCCACTATGCATTTGAGAAATTTCAACACGCATGTGTCGAGTAGACACAATGTTTCTAAAAATTTAGAAGATTTGAACAACACAATTAATAAACTTGGTTTTAATGGTCTTCTAAAGAATCCTCCCCCAAATCATGTATTGAAACAAATCTCAATAAAATTCAAAGAAATAGTGTCATACAGACCATGTTCTCTGATTATAATGCGATTAGGTTGGAAATCAATGACAAAAAGAATTTTTTAAAACCACATAAAATTGGAAGTTGAAAATGGAATGTATCAAAGTAGAAATCAACACTGAAATTAAAATATTAAAATCAACTTATAATAAAATATTACATATGAAAACTTATGAGATTCAGTGAAAGAGAAACTTAGAGGGAAATTTGAGGCCTATTAGGTTTATTTTGCAGCAAAGAGGGGTGAAAATAAAGAACTAATAATCCAAATGAAAATACGAGAAAAAGAGTAGCAAAATGAACCCAAAGAAAGTGAAAGGTAGAGAATATTAAGTAAATAACTATAAATAGAAAACAAAAATACAATAGAGAGTAATAACAAAGCTAAAGGTTATTTGAAAGCTTTGCTAACATAGACAATACTCTAGTGAAATTGATCAGAAAACAAGACAGTGCTTCCTATCCTTTTTTGTTTTTCATTGTAATCTCCCCATCCTGGGAAATGTTTTAGGCTTTATTTTTCTTAATAACCTCTCCCCACTAACGCCCAGGAAATTTTGATTCCACATATATACTAGATTGCCCTTTATGTACTGTATACATATCTGTGCTTTATATTTTAGAAGAGTAAGACCCACCCAAGGCTAATTTTCACTCCTTTAGGGACAATATCCTCCCTGTTTGGAATGCCTAGAAAAAGAGAAGGCACAACTAAGCAATAATAGGAATTAAAAGGATGTATCTGTAGATAGAGCAGAAATATAAGAATTAAACATTCTGAACAATCTTATAACAAGGCATACTAATAAATGTTCAAATTCCTAGAAAAATATGTCATATGAATTGGCAGAAATAGAAACACTAAATAAGTGTTAGGGCTGGGCATGATGGCTCATGGCTGTAATCCCAGAACTTTGGGATCCAAGGTGGGCTTATCACTTGAGGTCAGGAGTTTAAGACCAGCCTGGACAACATAGTGAAACCCTGTCTCTACTAAAAATACAAAAATTAACCAGGCCTGGTGGTGTGCCCCTGTAATCTCAGCTACTCTGGGGGCTGAGGCAGGAGAATCTCTTGAGCCTGGGAAGCAGAGGTTGTAGTGAGCCAGCATCATGCCACTGCACTCCAATCTGGGTGACAAAGTGAGTCTCCATCTCAAAAATAATAATAATAACAATAAAATACATAGATGTTAGTCTGCTCTGGATGTCATAAGAAAATACCACAGGCTGGGGGGCTTAAACAATAAAAATTTATTTACTACCAATCCTGGAGGCTGAAAGTATGGTCAAGGTGCCACCAGGATTGGTCTCTGGTGAGACTCCTCTTCTTGGCTTGCAAACAGAGACCTTCTCATGGAGTTTTCACATGGCCTTTGTTCTGTGCATGCTTGAAGAGAAAACTCTGGTGTCTCTTTCTCTTCTTGTAAGTACATCAGTCCTATTTGATTAAGGCCTTACTCTTATGACCTCATTTAACCTTAATTACCTCCGGCCCCTATGTCCTAATACAGTCACATCAACTGGTTAGGGCTTCAACATACACATTTTGGGGGAGACCGAATTCATAACATCCAGGAAGTATTAAATTATATCATTTAAAAGTCTTCCCAAAATAAAACACAAGGATGATATCATACCAGATATTCAAAGAGCAGATTATATTTATCATGTTCGAAGTCTTTCCTAGGAGAAAGAGCTAACCTCCAGGTGCATTTTATGTCTCCTATGACCTAATACCAAAAACAGATAAGGACAGCACAGAAATCGGAAAGTATGGACCCATCTCTCTCATGATCATAAATAAACAAAAAGTTCTAAATTATGACTAAACTCTAGCATGTTTTAAAATATCATGGCCAAGTGAGGTTTATTTATAACATTTTAAAATTGGTTTTGCATGCATTAATGTATCTAAACATACTAAATTCAGATTGCTGGACAGAAACACATGTTCATCACAAAATACCAGAAAAAGCATTTAGATAACATTCAACACTTGTTTGTGACTTGTAGCAAACCAAGATTAGTAGAGAAACTTTCTAATCTGATAAAGAATTTCTACCAAAAGCTTTCAATGAATATCATTGTTAATTGTGATGTTAGAAACATTCTATTTAAAATCAAGAGTGCCTCCATGACTAGTCAACATTGGATTGGAGAACTAGTCAGCACAATGCTTATTCTTTTTTTTTTAAAAAAATTATATTTTACAAGAAATCAAAATGAATCTACAGATAAATTCATAGAAGACAGTTTAGCAAGGTGGGTCAATATATAAACATGTAAGTACATTTCTGTATATGATACACAGTTTAAAAACTTTTAAATTATCATTTACAATAGTAGTAAAATGTAGCGTATTTTGGGAATGCACTGGACCAATGAGGTCAAGATCTTTGTAGGGGAATTTATATGAAAGGCATTGGAAGAGACCTGTGTAAACGGACATGTGCCATGTGTCATATTCACTGATAGGACAACTCTTACTGCAGACCTGTTTCTTCCAAATGAATCCATACATTTAATGTTATTGTAATCAAACATTAAGAAGTTTTTGGGAGAGAGGAGGCTTGATGAGCTGATTCTAAAATTTATGTCAAAGAGCAAATAGCCAACAATTACCAGAAGTAAAAATGGTGGATGATTGACCGTATTGTGTGAAGACTTGCTGTAGAACTTTGTGTATGTGTCAGATGAGTCTAGGTTATCTTCTGGTTACCCCTTTCCCTCTCCCCATTTAATCATCTGAAAGGCACAAACTATATTTCTCATGTGTATATGTCATTCTCCCATGTATCCACGCCACGTTCCCAAGGGAACGCTGCACATCCTAGTTGCTCAGGCACCAGGCTGTTGGGGCCACCTGAGTCATACCTAGACTCTTAAACATTTTCTGTCCAGAAGTGGCACACATTACTTCTGTTAACTTTCCACTGGTCAATCAAAACCTGCCACGAACATGGCAGGGAGCACAGTACTTCCCTTAAATGGAAAGGGACACTGATGGATGGTAATACAGTCTTCCCCCACATAGTCATTAAGATAGTGTGGTATGGATGCTGTCAATACAAGTCAATAGATAAAGAGGTTGGCAGTCTGGCCAACATGGAGAAACCTAGTCTGTAATAAAAATACAAAAATTAGCCAGGCACAGTGTGTATGTGAAGAACTGTGTGTATGTGTTAGATGAGTCTAGGTTATCTTCCGGTTACCCCCTTCCCTCTCCCCATTTAATCATCTGAAAAGCACAAACTATATTTCTCATGTGTATATATCATTCTCCCACGTATCCATCCCAGGTTCCCAAGGGAACACTGCACATCCTAGTGCCTATAATCCCAGCTACTTGGGACACTGAGGCATTATAATCACTTGAACCTGAGAAGCAGAGGTTGCAGTGAGCTGAGATGGTGCCACTGCACTACACAGCCTGGGCAACAGAGAGAGACTCCATCTCAAAATAAATTAATAAAAACAGATTCAAATATATCTGGAACTTGAAACACAAGTAGTGACAAGATCAATGGGGAAAAAATAGAATTGTTGGGACAATTTGTTATCTACATGGCAAAAAATGAAATCAAATATCTGGCACAAATCACACTTATAAATTAATTCTAGGTAGAATCAAGACTTCAATGTGAAAGGCAAATCTTTAAAACTTGTAAAATAAAATATATTTCACCTGTAACAGGGAAGAAATTCTTAAGATTCAAAATAGAGCAAATCTTAAAGTTTAAGAAAATGACAAGCACTTTGGGAGGCCGAGGCGGGTTGATCACGAGGTCAGGAGTTCAAGACAAGCCTGGCCAAGATGGTAAACCCCATCTCTACTAAAAATACAAAAATTAGCTGGGCTTGTAATTCCAGTTACTTGGGAGTCTGAGGCAGAGAATTGCTTGAACCTGGGAGGCAGAGGTTGCAGTAAGCTGAGATCACACCACTGCACTCTAGCCTGGGCAGCAGAGTGAGACTCTGTCTCAAAACAAAACAAAGCAAACAAACAAACAAGCAACCCACCACCACCACCACCAACAACAACAACAAAAAAAAACAAAAGAAAAAGAAAATGACAAACAACTGGATTAAAATGAACAGCTTTTGCTTTACTAAGAGACAACAAATAGAGTGAAAAAACAAGCCACACCATGCAAGAAGATATTTGCAACAATTGATAAAGGATTAGTATTCAGAATTTAAAGAATGTGAATGAATCAATAGGCAAAAGACAAACACCCAAATTAAGAATGGACACACAGGCATGAGTGGGCACTTTGCAAAGGAGGGAACATGAATCACCCAAAATCATGTGAACAGATGAACAATCCTTTAGTAATTAGGAAACTGCAAATTAAGACAATACTTTTATCTATTGATTAGACATCAAAAAATAATTAGAAATAAAAAATCTAAAATATGGCACTACGAAGAGTCATGAAGGATATGAAGCAAGAAAACCTAATATGCTTTCGGAGGAATTACACCAACTTTACCCATTCTAAAATACCACTTATTTAAAATAATCCGTTATTTTAAACACCACTCCAAAGCAAGACAAAACCCCCCAAAGTCCACTAACCCAGAGCTTTTTATCACTTGTAATTTTTTTTTTTTTTTTTTTTTTGAGGAAGAGTCTCACTCAGGAATGCTGGAATGCAATGATGCAATCTCGCAATCTACAGCCTCCGCCTTCCAGATTCAAGTGATTCTTCTGCCTCAGCCTCCTGAGTAGTTGAGACTACAGATGTGCACCACCACGCCTGGCTAATTTTTGTATTTTTAGTAGAGATGGGTTTCACCATGCTGGCCAGGCAGCTCTCAAAATCCTGACCTCAAGTCATCTGCTGGCCTCAGCCTCCCAAGTGCTGAGATTACAGGCATGAGCCACCCTGCCTGGCTGTCACTTGTAATTTTTGTGTTAAATATGTTGAAAGATCTATTTTAGACTTATTGAAGAAGAATTTTAAATCATATATCACTTCTGCATACAAAAATGAAGAAAATAAAATTAAGGTGTTTCTATCACAGTCTAACTTTTCTGAGTCCAACTTGAATCCCATCATCAGTGTCCACATTTTTCCACACACTAATGTCTCTGCCATTCAAAGCATTGGTCATATAGCAGTTTTGACACTGGGATGTGAACTCGTCCACACTCCTGCCCTAGAGAGGGGGCCTGTGTTCCTCCCACTGACTCTGGGCAGCTGTGACTGCTTGGACCAATAGAGTACAGTGGAAGTGACACTGTGTGACTTCCAAAGTGATATCATAAAAGGCTCTACAATTACTGCCTTGCTCACTGGAAATACTCACTCTTGGAACTCTGGGCCATCTGTAAAAGCCCAAGTATCCTGAAGCTGCCATGCTGGGAGGAAGCCCAGGTCACACGGAGAGGCTCCATGCAGGGTCTCCATTCACAGTTCCAGCTGAGCCCAGCTTTTGAGCCCTCCTGCCCAGGAGCCACACTTGTGAGTGGAGCAGCCTCCAGATAATTCTAGTGCCCAATCCTTCAAGTCTTGTCGGGCTGCTCAAGCCTTCCCATCTGGGGCCCCAGACATGAGGAAGCCCTCCCTACTCTGCCCTGAGTGCCTGATCCTCAGAACCTGTGAGCGTAATAAAATGGGCCTGTTCCGTGTCCCTAAATGAGGGGGGTCTGGTGCACAGCAGTAAAGAACCAGAATGCCCCTCATTCACAAAGACTCTGGCAACACTGCAGTTTCCATCTCCTTCCAGATCGGCTATCCCCTGGGAGACTTCAGTGTCACACAAATGACCTCTCACTGCCAACACTCTGACCTCCCAATCCTTGACCTCCTCACCCACAGCAATGTCCTCACCTAAGTCACCTGGGCTAACTCTTCCAGTGAACAAACGGCAGGGTTTGGGAGTTTTAAGGGACACCGCGAGGGCTGTTATAAGGTAAATGGAGGCTTCCTCTTGTAGCCCCTCCAAAGGTCCTGTGCCTCCCCCTAGCGTTGTCATCATGCAGGATATTGGGAAGAGCAGCAGGTCACAAAGTCACCGTGTCAAGCCTCCTGTCAATCATAACAGGGAATTCATAACAGAGTTGGGGTGGGAGGTGGGGAATTGGCATCATTCGCTCCAGCTTCTGAGCCGGTGCCTCCGGCTTTTCACCAGCACTTGATTCCGTCTCAGACCAAATATGCGGATGTCCTTCGTCACCTACTCCATGGACTGTGACACCGTCTTGCTGCTCACCTCAGACAAGTGAGTGCTGCTTTGAGCCCCAAAGGGAGGCCTGATGAGCTGAGCCAGAGGGAGCTCCAGGGAGCTGAGGGATCCCCGGAGACCTTGATTGGGAGCCTGACAGCACACAGGGCAGGCCGGACAGGGCAACTCACAGTACCCACCTGACCTTAGCCCTGGCTCCCCTGCATCCTTCTACCCATGGCTGCAAGGTTACCTGCAGGCCCCTGTGCTCCAGTTCTCGGCCTCCCCCACTTCACACTCCCCTGCCCTCTCTCTGCCCTGCCTCCTTCTCTGGGAGGTGGCTGTGAGGATTCCCGGGGTCCAGGGGCTGGCAGAGGGGTGGGGGCGTCCTGTGAACACACACCTGTGCGGGCAGCTGCTCTGTGCCTGTTCCCCCTGCCCTGGCCAGTGCGGGAGGGAGACAGGGTCAGAGCCGGTGGTGAGATTCCTGGGGCTTTAGCGCAGGGATGCTGGCAGGACCAGACAGGGGAGTCCCTGAGTGGGGTTCTGAGCTCCAGGCCAGGCTGGGAAACTGGAGAGAGGTAGGAGGAGCAAGCTCAGGTGGCTTGAGGTGGCCTAGCAAGGTGCCCAGGCCCAGCAGGGGGCACTGCAGACTTCCTGTTTGGCGGGAGGTGAGGGCACTTCCAATGCACATGCCCAGAACTTGGCCCAGATAAGGTGAAGCACAGGAGAGGTGAGGACACTGAGGACTGGATGGGGGCCTGGACTACACTTGCAGCTTCGAGGGAATACAAGGTGGGCTGCCACATCTTGAGCTGGGGGGAGGCTTGGATCTGTGTGCCCTGCGCTGTGGGTTTGGCAGAGAGACTGGAGTGGGTGTGAGGTGGTAAAAAGCAAGTCTATTGGGGAGGACTGTGGCAGATGACCCAGACGGGGAGCAGGGTTTGGGCATGGCCAGAGGAAGGCCAGGGCATGGCCTTTTCTGGGTATGGATGGGCCTGGCCTCCTCCCCTCCTGGGTTGGGCAGGGCAGGGCTCTCAGAGCTCTGGCCATGGCAGGGACTCTGCCCGGAGTGGGAAGCCATCCTTCAGGGTCCATGCTCTGCCCAGCCTTGCTGTGCAGGCTCAGCCTGTCACATTGGATTAGCCTGACCCTAAGTCCCTGGCCCGTCCCAGTCCTGCCACCAGAGCCAGTCCTGGCTGCCCTAGCCCATTCTGTCTGTTTTAACAGCAGCTGACAGGCCACATCCCCCAGCCAGTCTGCAGATCAGTGTTCAGTCCCTGCATGCACAGCCATCGGGGCTGCCTCTCCAGCGTTTGGTCTTGTTTCAGGGGCACAGAAAGTCAAGGAGGCCAGGCAATCTAAGTAAGTAGATTTGGTATTTCCTGTAGCAGGGTAAAGACAGAGCAGGAAACTGAGTCAGGGTCAGGGGTCTGGGGCTGTCGGGTCTGGGTGTAGGGCTGGGGGCTTAGCAGGATGACTTTTCCCAAATGCAGCCCTACCTGTTAAAGGATGGAGTGCCCAACACAAGAGAGTCCTTCTTGGGTTAGGGTTTGGATTAGAGTAAGAGTTAGAGTTAGGAATGTCAACCCCATTGTCAGTGACTGACTCTCAGTTGCCCATCCCTGGTTCAGGGCTAGGGTTAGGGTTAGGGTTAGGGTTAGGATTAGGATTAGGGTTAGAGTTAGAGTTAGAGTTAGAGTTAGAGTTAGAGTTAGAGTTAGGAATGTCAACCTCATTGTCAGTGGCTGACTCTCAGTTGCCCATCCCTGGTTCAGGGCTAGGGTTAGGGTTAGGGTTAGGGTGAGAGTTAGAGTTAGAGTTAGGAATGTCAACCCCATTGTCAGTGGCTGACTCTCAGTTGCCCATCTCTGGTTCAGGGTTAGGGTTAGGGTTTGGGTTAGAGTTAGAGTTACGAATGTCAGCCCCATTGTCAGTTGCCCTCAGTTGCCCATCCCTGGTTCAGGGTTAGGGTTAAGGTTAGAGTTAGCAATGTCAACCCTATTGTTGGGCGCTAACTCTCAATTGCCCATCCTCCATTCAGGGTTAGGGTTAGGGTTAGGAATGTCAGCCCCATTGCAGTTCCTGACTCACATTTGCTCATCCATGGGAAGCTCCCACTTTCAACAAAGATGGTCTAAGCGGGGCCCTAGTGAGATTCCTCAGGCCTGCATTCTCTAGAACTGGGATGATATCAGAAGTCCTGAACTCTATGGTCAACTTCACAATGAGGAATGAGCAGGACAGAGCCCTTGCTTGGCCCCTTCTCCATCCAGGAGGCTTTGCATGGTGAACAGTGTCTCCCGGAGAGCTTGGGAACTTTTTTTTTTTTTTTGAAACGGAGTCTCACTGTGTCACCCAGGCTGGAGTGCAGTGGCGTGATCTTGGCTCACTGCAAGCTCTGCCTCTCAGGTTCACGCCATTCTCAGCCTCCTGAGTAGCTGGGATTACAGGTGCCCGCCACCACACCCGGCTGATTTTTTGTATTTTTAGTAGAGACGGGGTTTCACCATGTTAGCCGGATGGTCTTGATCTCCTGACCTCGTGATCCGCCCTCCTCGGCCTCCCAAAGTGCTGGGATTACAGGCCTGAGCCACCGCGCCCGGCCAGGGAGCTAATTTTTAACAGTCCATGTGTTTCCATGTCAACCACCTTTTTGGAGTTTTTTCAGGAAGAAAATAAAAGAGAGTCTCGACCAACTTCAGAAAATGGTGCCTGAAGGACACACATCCATGCAGGCAGGATTTAGAAATGTATACACCCCTTGAGCTCCAAGAATCGATTCTAGTTTACAAGGTCTTAGAGTATCCATGTCCAGGTTCGCTATTTCACTGTCCAAGTTCGCTATTTCTTCATTTTCTTGCAGGCAATTCGGCAGATGGAAAATTTCAACTCCACATGTAAGCACCTGGGGAAACAGAGCTGGGCGAGAGCCTCAGAGAGCTCTGTGTGCAGATTCTGCAAGGCCACCCCTGCCCTGCCTCTTGGAGCAAGTTACTCACCTGCTCTGAGCTCCAGGTCCCTCCCTAGTGCAGTGAGCATAGTAAGCCCCCGCCCCATGGAGTTCCGAGAACTGTGTGGGATCCTGCGTGTGCACCCCTGGTGCTCATAACCCTGAGGTGCTTGCCCTCCAGCTGGGCTGTGTGAAAAGGAAAAGGGAAGAGCCAAGGAGTTTGCCCCCTTGCACGCACCTTAGTCTTCCTCCTCCCTTCCTCGTTTCCCCTCTGAGTGACTTGCATTCCCTGAATGTGTCTCATGCAGAAGGCTGTCCACAGCCGCCGACTCCCCTCCCCACTGTGTGGCTGCAGCTCTTGTCAGGAAAAGGCAGGGCTGGTGGGGAAAGGCATTGAGGTGGCCGTGGAGTCCCCTGCCCAGGTGCCACTGACCTGGATTCCTGTATTCCTGGGCCCACAGATGCCGGCAGGGCTGCCCACAGGCTCTGCCCACAGGAGAGCCCGGCTGCTCCTCCCCCTGCCTGTGCCACAGGCCTGTGCTCGTGGAGTCCTGGCTGGAGCTGCCCTCAGGCAGAGGTGGTGCTGCTGCTAGTGGGTGAGAGAACAGGCAGCCTGTTGAGAAGGGGTCTGCCCCTCTCAGCTCCTCCTTTTTAAATGGGTGCTGGGCTGAGACCTTCCTCACTCTAGGGGTCTCTGGATAGCAGGTGCTTGGCTCTTGGCAGCCTCTCCCTTGGAGGATGAGGCGGGGGCACCTGGCCATGCCCTGGAGTGATCAGTGCTGTGGGCCTGGCGGCCCACAGGGGTCCTGGAGTATTGGGGTGATCAAACCCAGCACCAGATCATGGGAGTGATGAAGTCTGGCGGAGTCAAAGGAATGAGAAAAAGACAGTTTGAGAGAGAAAGTGGGATCAGGGGGCCATCACGAGTGTGGAGGCTGCAAAGGCCCCCAGCTCTGGGAGCCCATGCTATTTATTGGTGCTCAAACAAAGAAACAGGGGGTGAGGATGCAGGGGTTGAAAAGAAACAATGTATCAAGTGAATGAGAAACATATAGCTGCTTGAGATAATGGGAGTGCTAGAAGCAAGGAGCCAGCAAGTCTAGCAGACATGCAAGCCCTGCCTTAGCTTCTCTCCCAACACTCAGCTTTTCTCCCAACACCAGAGCTTTTGGAGGTCACTTCTAGGGCCTTTGCTGAGCAGGCCACTCCTTGCTTCTCCTGCAGACAACAAGGTTTCCAGCATGATTATTGCTATGACCGATGGAACAATGATGAAACATCCATTTTTGGACACTCTCAAAGAAGTGAGTTCAGTTCGTATTTATCAGCATTTTGCTCCTTGTATTTTGGTAATTAATTCTGAATGCCTTCTTTCCCTTAAGCTGAAAGGACTTGGAACCTGGGGGCCACTATTTATACCCTGGGTGTGGCTGATTATAGGAAAGACCTGATAATTCCAAACAGCTTAACCAGGTACCAATATGGAGCCTTGTGGTCAGGTTAGGGTTAGAGTAGGGAAAGGCGTCTCAGGTGGCTTTCCCAGGGCCACCCTAAGAAGGGTCATCTAATCTGCCTCAAGTGAGTTGGGCCAACCCATGACTACTGCAGAAATGACAGCATGTCGTATAAATCCCACCACACCAGAGGGAAGGGCGGAAGAGCTCCCCCCACACTCCCTGAGAGTGGGCTGCTGGCTGGAGAAGGCTGTGGCTCTCAGAGCCTGGCATTCTGCTGCCCCCAAAGCATGGGGGCAGGACACTGTCACCTGGGCCAGGGGTCTGCTGCATCCTCACCCCTGGGCTGGGGATCCAGCTCTGCTTTCTGTAGATAACAGCAATTGCAGATAGCCCTGACCATGTGTTTGCAGTGGAGAATGGCTTCAAGGCCCTGAGAAGCAACTGTTGATACTGTGAGTGGGTGGAGGTGAGGGGCTAGGGGCCTGGCTTCTGTGACCGGAATCTCACTCTCCCTGCCCTGTCCCACCCCTACTCATGTGTTCCAGCTCACATCAAAGACCTGTCTTGAAGCTATGTTGGTGGAGCCTTCCTCTGTGTGTGTAGGAGGTGAGGGCTGCGGAGGCCCTGTGGTAGCCAAACGGTGGTGTGCGTGAGTGCATGCATGTATGGAGTGTGCGTTTGTTTGGTATGTGTTGGGGACGATGTGTGTGGGGAGTGTGTGAGTGTGGTGTGTGTATGTGGTGTGAGTGTGTTTGGTGTGTGTATGTAGTTTGTGTGGGTGCAGTGTGTGTAGTGTGTGTGGGAAGGTGTGCTGTAGGAAGCTTGATGTGTGTGAAGTCTGCGGGGGAGGGTAATATGTGGTCTGTGTGTTGTGTAAATGTGTGTGTGATCTGTGTGTGGGGTGTGTATATGGGCTGTGAGTATAGTATGTGGGGGGTATGCATGAGTGACACATCTGTGTGTGTTGTGTTATGGGTGTATGTGGTGTGGGAGCTGAGGAGGTATGTGTTGTGTGTGTGTGGGGGTGTGAGTGTGTGTACGGGGCATATATGTATGTGTGTGTGGTGTATGTGAGGAGTGTGTGGCGTAAGTTGGGGTGCTATGGAAGTGTGTGGGAAGGGTACCTGGTGCGTGGTGTCTAGTGTGTGAGTTTGTTGTGTGGAGGAGTCGGGAGTGTACTGCTTGTGTGTGTGGTGTGTGTGCATGGGATGTGTGCTGTGTGTTTGCTGTTTGTGGTGTATGTGTGTTTACTATTTATGTGTGTCTGTGGTGTGGGTATGTACAGTAGGACTAGAGTGTTTGGATGTGTTGTGTGTGTCATACGTGGGTGTCTACATGGGCATATCTTATGTGTGTGGCATGAGGGGAAGGAAATGGTGTGATGGCATGTGTGTATACTTTGTGTGTGCATTCAGTGGGTGGTGGGTGTGTGTGCCGTGGCTGTGTGTGTATGGTATGGGATGTGTAGGTGTGTGCTTGGTATTTTTGGTGTATACGTGTTTGCTGTTTATGTTGTGTGTGTGGGGTGTGCTGGGTGTGTGTTAGGGGAGTGGGGAGTGTGTGGTGCGTGTATGATGTGTGATGTGTGTGTTGTGTGTATGAGATGTGTGGTGTGTCTTTGGTATTTTTGGTGTACGTGTGTTTGCTATTTATGTGTGTGTGTGGTGTGTGGGTGTGTGTGCTTTGGGTGTGTGGTGTGTGGTGTGATGTGTGTGGTATGGGGTGGGTTGAGTGTGTTTGTGGTGCAGTGTGCATGGGTGGGTGGGTGTGGATGTATAGCCTACATGGGTGTGAATGTGAGTGTTGGTGCGGGGGGAATATGCGGGCGTGGGAGTGTGAGTACCTGTGCACAATTAGTGTGTTGTTACCTCACAACAATAAGTTTAACTCTAAAGCAAGAAAAGACATGTGTGAGAAGCTCTCAGGGAAACACCAGCAAATGGCATGGAGCAGCAGGTAACCCAGACCACAGGCCAGGAGCAGCCACGGCTCCTCTCAGGAAGGCCAGGCAGGTGCAGAAGGTGAAATATCTGTGAAATTTACCACATCAACAAAAGGGGAAACAGGAACCAAGAGGTTATCTCAGGGGATGAAGAACAAGAAGTGGGGGCGTCAACATGCCACATCACCCTGTAAGCAGAAGGAAACCTCCATAGCCCGACAAAGGCGTCCCAACACCCTCGGCTCACTTCAATTCCACAGGAAAAATCCCAGCATCTGTCCCTACTGTCTGGAATGTGGCAAGGGTGAGTCCCGGCATGGGTGGTGACAGCCTCGTGTGGTCCTCTGTGATGACCCCTGTCTGTCCCGACCTCCGCCTGTGCGTGCTGGGACTCTGCCTGGCCAGCATTTACGCAACTGCGGCTGCTGGAGAGGAAGGGAGCCTTGGTTGTCCTCCATCCATGGGGACGGCATGAGGCTGGGTGCTGCTGGCCCCAGAGCAGCAGCTGGGCTCTGGCCTCCTGGTTCCTAACTGCAGTGTGCCCTGGCAGTAGGCTGTGGGAATAGACACACCGTCCATGTCTGCGTTCTGCTCTCCATGGGCACACGACCAGGAGCAAATTGTCCAATGTCAGCCAGCTCCAGAGGTGCCTCCCATGAACAGAAAGAACGCTGTCAGGCCTGTTGTGAGTCCCAAGGTACTGGGCTGTGCGGGGACTGGCACAGGGCTGGGAGCTGGTGGGACCCAGGAACAGGAGCTGGGCTGACACTTCCATGATTGGTCCTGGGCTGTGGCCCCTACTCGCCTCTCCCTGATGCAGAGTTGAGGGTGGGGGTGGAGTAGAGAGCTCCCTTCCCCCTCGGGGTCTCTCTGCTGCTCCTGATTTAAAGCTGCTCAGCCATTCAGCCAGTGTGACAGCTGTGCTCCTCTGATGATGTCCCCTGGACATGCACAGGCTGTGGCATCTAAGCAGCCCTGTCAACCCCAGGTGAGGATGTGAGTCGTCACTCCTCCCTGGAGGCAGCAGAGTTGAGGTGACAGGTGCCCTCTGCCCACCAGCTCGGCCCTCTGCCTCTGCCCATGTGGCCTGGCAGTCATAGCCCCGAACTGTCAGCTGTTGGCCAACTTGGGCAAAGCTGCCCCACATGGAGGGTGACAGTCACAGCAGGGAAAGGCCAAGGCAGGAGCCTGAAACCCAAATGCATCAGAATGAGCCCTGTCAGCAGGCTGCCGCCGAGAAGCCAGGAGGGTTCCAGGGAGCCCAGGAAGGAGTCCAGGGAGGGAGGCACGCAGCCCAGACTCACCACCCCCATTTAGCCCTGGGCCTCATATCCAGCCTGGGAGAGGCCTCTGCTGGCCTCACTGCTCCAGGCCATTCCTGAGCCCATCCCCCACACATGCTGGAGGGTTTTGGCAGGCACCTCCCTTCCAAGCCAGGCAGGTATCTGAGGCTCTTAGCAGGACCCCCAGGCTGTCCAGCAGCCACTCCCTATCCTGGATGCCCTGTGCAGAGGTGGGACCAGGTGGAACATAGGCACTCTGCAAACCCTGCCTCACCTTGAAGGGCCGAGTCCACCTTCCTTTGCAGCCCTGCTCATAGGGCACCTCCTCCTGGAAGCCTTCCCTGATGACCAGCCCCTCTGACTCCCTGCAGCTAAGGGCTTGGTCTGTGCCTCTCATCAGTCACTTGTCACCCAGGATGTATCATGAGTTCTGGTTGTCTATGTCCAAGTATAATTTTCTTCTTTAGTTCCTTGGTTTTCTTCCACCCTTTATTGTTGAAATTTTCAAACCTATAGGTGAGTGGAAAGGATTGTGCAATGAACACAAACACACCTCTGTCCACCACTGGGATTTCACACTGAATGTTCGCCCATGCTCCTTTATCTCTCCCTCTCTCTCTCTTCATCCATCCACCTTGCAATACATAGAATACATGTTTGCAATGTATGTATGTTTGCAATACATAGAATACATAGCCCTAGCACAGCCTAGAATGTAATTTGCAACCACCCCGACTGAAGCTTTGGGGCAGCCCTCAGTCCTGCTCAGGGTGGCCGAGTTGGGCTGACCAAGGGGCGCAGGCTGACCAAGGGGCTGACCAAGGGCCCAGTTGCTCCCTCCTGGGCACACACTGAGCCCAGGTCCGGCTGGCCAGGGCCCTTTGGACATCTGAGCGAGGAAGATATTGAAAATGCTACCTGATGGCATGAGCTTTGGAAGCAGCTGCTGTCGGTCTTAGTGGTGGGAGAGGACCCGATACTTGCCCTGAGGCGGGGCCAGGTCTGCTTGCTCAGCACAGGGCACCAAGCTGGCCTTTCCTGCTCTCTCACAGCCTCAGTGCCCCCACCAGGCCCAGGGTCTTCCGAGGACAGCATAGTATCCATCAAGTGGGTGCCCACAAGGGCTGGGCTGGCACCTTGAGCGGGAAGAGCAGGCCAGGCCTAGCTGGCTGATGTCAGCAGTCAGTGTGTGGGTCTTTGGAGTGAGGCAGGCCTCCGAGCTCCTCATCTGAGGAGCATGGTTCCCTAGGTCCCAGCCAGGAGCTGACATGGAGAAACACAAACCCACTGAGGCCTGCATTTCCCATTTTCCAAGAAAGCTAGAAATCTAGATATTTAGGGGAAATGTTCAGGCTTTTAACTGTGGGCCCCCATTTTTGAAAGTACTTGAAAGCATCAGAAAGCATGTCAGCAGGCCAGCTTCACCCACAGCCCGCCTTGAAGGTGTGACACTGCAGGAAGGCAAGAAGCAGGGTTCACAGGAAGCTTTCCTTGGGTGCATGGACCAGGGGCACCCCAGGCATCCACAGGGATTGGAATGAGCGGGGCCTAGGCCAGGAGGCAGGCGTGGAGGCCAATGCCCTTGGCAGCTTCAGACCTGCGGGAACCCTAGCTGGCTCCTGGGGCCAGCCCCCCCGTCCTGTGTCCCCTGTGGTATTTGTCTCAGGGTGGGAGTCACAGTGGTGGAAGGACACACTTCCTGAACCTCAGGGTGGGTGCCCTGTGGTCCTTGCTGGGTCAGGAAGAGCAGGAGGTGAGGAATCACCTGTAGGTCTCTGGAATAGCAGCTAAAACTGGGCCTCTGTGATAGATTCCCCTGAGCAGTCCTGGCCCTGCCCCTGCCCCTGTGGGTGTCCTCCCTGCCGCAGGCGCACAGAAAGACAGGGAGGAGAGACCCCGAGTGTTCAGCAGCCCTGAAGGAGGCATCTAGGCTTGGGCACCCAGCTGAGTCATGAGACATGGTGTCTTCAGGCAGCATTATGGCTCCACTTACACCTTACATCAGGGAGGGCCTGGCTGAGTGCATGGCCAGTACCCCTGGGGCTTGAGGGAGCACTACAGATTTCAGGGCAGGAATAGCACTTTGAGCCTGCACCGTGCAGGGACCAAGGCCTTTCCTGAGCGTGTTGGTTCAGGGATGGTAGGGAGAGAGTCCTTGAGTGTGCTCAAGGCCCAGCTGCCTCCTCCTGGACCCTCAGTGACACCAGATGAAGATTTGACCCAGTGGACACATAGATGTTGGTCAAACACTGCTCCTTCCTTACAGGAGCCTCTGCAAATTCAGTTTTGGGGGAGGATCTCCAGGATCAGGGAGGTCAGAGGGGAAGCAGCCCTCCACTCTTCCACACTCAGACTTTTGAATGTTGTCCTTGCAGATCCTACCATGTGGTTATTCATGGAAATGGCTTTCAGACTCTAAAGAAACAAGACGAAGTTATTTGCATATTTATCTTCAAACGAAAGCACTATCATTGGTAAGTTGTCTCCTCGGTGCCTCTGAGTCACGTATTTCCCATGCAATACTGCCTTTCCCCACAGCCAGCCAAGCCTCCCAGCCCTTGCCAGCTGTTCCCTGTGGACCCTGTGGGGTTAGAGGCCATGAGGACAAGTGGAAGGAGGCACTGGGAAGCCCGGCCACCCCTCCCTTCATCTGCCAAGCGGGGAAGTAACAAATCCCAAGAGAGCATCTCAGATCAGGGCTTCCCCCTCAGTGAGGCTGGGTTTAGGACTGGTTCTGCCATCACAGCTGCATCTGCCCACCTTAGCCTCAGTTTCCCCTTCCCTTGAGAGCCCAGGACCCAAAGCCCACAAGGCTACTCCTGGGAAATGGTGGCAGCCCCGGAGGTCTGAGCCTGGCTGGCCAGGTGCACCAGTAGCTTGCCCAGAGGGGTGTGTTTACCTTGCATTGAGGGAGGATGCCAGCCTGTAGGCCTGGGCCCTGGAATCCTGGCTCAGGCACACATTGCCTGTGTCACCTTGACCAGATGAGTGTTCTACTCGGAGCCTCAATTTTCTCAGTTTAACATGGAGCCATATGGTGCTGCTTGTGTGTTCTTTAACCAAAATGCTTGGGACCACAAATATTTTAGTTTTTAGATTTTTTGAGGTTTTGGAATGTGTGCATTATGCTTATGTTTCAGCATCCCTAATCCTAAAATTTGAAATCTGAAATTCTCTGAGCATTTCTTTTGAACACCATGTTGGTGCTCAAAAAGTTTCAGATTTTGAAGCATTTTGGGTGTGGATTTTCATATTACAGATGGTCAGCCACAGTTGCACTTAGCTAAGCAAAATCACATGTGTAGAGCAGTTGGTTCGTGGAAGGGCTATAGCATTTTTTAAAAATCTCCTATTATTTGGCTATAGGCATCAGAGGACCTCTGTGATGGTGGAGTGGCCTGAGGAAGTGCAGAGTCCAGGCAGAAGCTGTGCCCTGGGTGCTGGGGAAGGGGGTGTGCTCTTCCCCACTGAGCGCCTGGGGTGCAGTTGGATTTTTGCATCCTCCTTGATCTTCCCAGGTGGCCCCTTGATACATTCATTTGATGTGATGATAGTGTGTTCACTGACATCTAATTCTAGGGCCATGTGCTAATCCCAGGATGACTTCTCTTCCCCCAAGAGGCTTCTTGGCCATTTTCCTCCTTTCCATGAGTACATAAGAAGGGCTGGGCCTGTCATCCCCACATTCCCACTCATCAGCATTGTGTGGATGGTCTCAGGAAATTCGGTTTTCACTGGGTTATACTTTCCAGGAGTGTCTTAGGAACTGAGCAGCCCCTTTCTAAGGAAAGGTAACGCTTATTGAGCACTTACATCAGATATTGTGCCAAGTGCCTTACGCACAGTATTTCCCTGAATCCTCAAAGCAGCCTAACAGAAATTCCTTTGTATGTGTCAACCTAAATAACAGACAGACAAGGGCTCTTTACAAGAAAATGATGTTCATCTGAGAATGGGCATCACAGTGGGAATGCGCATGCCATAGGAAACTACATGCATATTCAGTAAAGGTAGATTTGACAGGAGATGTGAGGAGGATTACATAATTATTTGAGTTAATTCTTCTTGGCTACTAAGGTCAATAATAATAGAGATGACCCCAATGTGAGGTTGCATGGGCAGTTGCTGGGCAGATGTCCTGGCAGAAGTATTTTTTGTGTAGGTTTGCAATGGTCTTTGTACAAGGTTGTAGTTTTTACAGATTTGTGGTAGTTTTTGTTATCAGGTATACAAGCTTGTGAATCTTCTCTTCATAAACTTCCCCAATTCAGCTTGCCAGGATTTTTTGTTGTTGTTTTTTAACATGTTAATTCTATTTTGATTCTGACAACTTTCACAGTTTCTACCTTTTGATCAAGATCTTTCTGCAAATGCCTCGCAAATCAATCATTCTGTAATCAGGTTTTGACTGTCCCTGGATAATGAGATGGGCCTGTCCTGGTTGCAGGTCTTGGTCCATTTTGGAGGGGGCAACTGGTAACTAGGAATAAGTGTCAAACCCTTTTAGTCGCATTTGACCTTTCAAGGATGTTTGAAAGGAGTGACTCTCAGGTTAAGTCTATCTTGAGTCCATTATTAAGTTCAATTTTGTGGGTTCCACAGTCTTGCTATGATCTCAAAATGATGGGCTAGCATTATGGTTACAAGTTGTACTTCTGCAAAAATTTAGCAAGTAGCATATAGAAAGTTTAAAAATGGAAAATATGGTTTGCATAATAGTTTTGATCCATGAACCTAGACTTAAAGACAACTGTATTCGTTTGTTCTCATGCTCCTAACAAAGACATACTTGAGCCTGGGTAAGTTATGAAGGAAGGAGGTTTAATTGACTCATAGTGTCACTCGGCTGGGGAGGTCTCACAATGACGCTGGAAGAGCAAGAGACATCTTACATGGTGGTAGGCAAGACAGAATGAGAGCCACACCAAAGGAGAAACCCCTTATAAAACCATCAGCTCTCCTAAGACTTCTTCACTACCACAAAAACAGCATGGGGGAAACCGCCCCCATGATTCAATTATCTCCCACCGGGTCCTTCCCATAACAAGTGGGAATTGTGGGAACTACAATTCAAGATGAGATTTGGGTAGGGACACAGCCAAACCACATCAGTAACCCATCGAATGAATCAAATGACCATAAGGAATTAGGTGAGATCTGTTTTAACCATGTGGCCTGTTTTCTTACTTTGTGTATATTGGTATTGACTTTCCCAGCGGAATTTATCCAGGTATGGCATGTAGTATCAGCAATAGTACAGACATTTGCTTATTTAACCAATGTATACCAAAAGATCTCTTAGGTCAGGTTCTGGCAAGTTACAAGCAAAAGGTACTAACTGTGAAATTTCAATTACTCCATTATCTTGCCAAGTGAGCAAGGTATCCTTAAGGAGCATAAGAGTCTCATTATACTATGGAGTCTTTGCCAATGTCTTGAAAAAAAGCTGTCTACAGTATGCAAAGGTCAACTTCTCATCCTGATTTGCAGTTTGTCTCTGGTCATGGCATCAAATGGTTTGGTAAACTTTTTATGTGGCCCATACATCAGGCACATGGCTGGTTTCTTAAAATTCATCTAGTTTCAGCTTATAGGGCTTTTGGAACAGAACAGTTTTCCATTCATAGTAATTCCATGGAAGAAGGTTGGATTGGAGGAACATAGAATAATTCGGGATGTGGTCTAGCTACAGACAGATAACAAGAACTTGGACAACAACTGAGTGCAAATGCTTTTTCAGTAGAATCCGAAAAACTTAGAATAGCCGTGGTTAAAAATCTGATAAAAGTTCACAATCGACAAGAAAATTTAGTTGTTTCCATTACCTGCAGGAATTTAAGATATCAACCATAATCATGACTGATAGCATCATATCACAAGTATCGGACTTATAAATTTCATATAATGTTTAGAATACTCACATCAATAACATAGCCATATAAGTAAAACTTTAAAGAAGTTTTAACATAACAACCCAAATTATGACTGATAGTATATTAGATTTTGTTATATAATTTTTAGAACATTCCTATCAATAGCCTACCCACAAATGTGACTAAAAGAAGATGTAGCCTCACTTCTCATTTGACAATCCTTGTCATATGATTTACCAAATAAGCCTAATCATTTAATATCTCTATAAATTAAAAGATATCTTCTTTGATATTCTCCAGGGGCCCAACTAGAAAATCTCAAAGTTAATTGCAGTTCAAAAAGACTTAATTTAGAATTTTGATCCAAGAGAAGCCCACCAAAAATGTCAAGAGATTCAAAGCCCTAGATCAAAATAGAATCATAGGTCACTGTTAAATAATAGTCATTCATTTAACTCGAGTGATTATCAGGAAACTTCAAAAGCAATACAGAAAGTTACAAAGATTTTAAAACCTTAACCTGTTCAAAGCTCAGTTTTCTTAAGTAATCGAAAATTTAATAAAGACAACACAGAAAATTATCTTGGTAAAATATAAATATATAAATTGTTTGTCTTTTAGGTCAATTACCAAAAGGTAAAAAAAGAAATCTCCTGCAATGTAATTGCTTCTTCTCATGGGAAGCCCGTTCAGTATGGAAACTGAACCTGATGAAAGGGTCCTGAAATTCAATTAGAGATAAAATAATATATCCAAGGGTTATGAGTGTACACTCATAGAAGAGTATAAACAAGAAGACTAGTACCTTGAGCAGAGGAATACAGAGCTCTTAGATAAAGTAAAAACGCGTGAAGTTTCTTGGTAGCATGGAACAATTCACACATATCAAGAAAAGCCAAGAATACGTAATCTAGTTATATTGGAGGAAAACATTGCTTTTCTTGGCCTTCAAGATAAACATTATAGTGCCAGGCCATAAAAACCGAGTTAGAACTGGAGGAAAAATGTTAGAGCAGCTGATGAAAAAGTTGGAGAAGAGAGTTATCACCTCAGCCAACCAAAAAGCTGCAACTTTTCGAAGGAAGAGAGTAGGAGCGCTGCAGGCTATGGTGTATGGCCTGCAAACCATGTGCAGTGGGACGCAGCAGAAACTGAACTTCTGAAATAAGAATCTGAGGAAGACCCTACCTTAATAAATAAAATTACCATTCTTCATGAAAAAGATTACATTCCTTACCTGAAACTGGGGAAATTAAATGGATCTCAGGAAAAAATGTGCCAGAAATAGAAACTGACTGCAGTTTAGAAGATGGCTGTTAAAGAAAACAGAAGTCAGAATTAAAGATCACAACCTCTTGCAATGTTACTAATAGCAAATCAATATTTCAAGAAAACTTTGGTATTCTAACATAGGAGACCAATTTTTTAGTTTAGTATTACTGTATTTTTAATACCAGAGCTCAATCTTTATGAAGACTTATACATAATTTTATTCTGATTATTACCAAGTCAATTACATGGGAAAATTTTTTCATCAATTTACCTGCCATGAATATTTTTGTTTTTATTGCATTTGGTTTTGGGTTCTTGGTCATGAAGTCTTTGCCTAAACCAGTATCTAGAAGGGTTTTTCTGATGTTATCTGCTAGAATTTTTACAGTTTCAGGTCTTAGATTTAAGTCTTTGACTCATCTTGAGTTGATTTTTGTATAAGGTGAGAGATGAGGATCCAGTTTTATTCTTCCACATGGTGGCTTGCCAGTTATCCTAGCACCATTTGTTGAATAGGTTGTCCTTTCCCTACTTTATGCTTTCGTTTGCTTTGTCAAAGATCAGATGGCTATATGTAAGTATTCATGTTTATTTCTGGATTCTCTATTCTGTTCCATTGGTCTATGTGCCTACTTTTATACCAGTACCATGCTATTTTGATGACTATAGCCATGTGTATAGTTTGAAGTTGGGTAATGTGATGCCTCCAGATTTGTTCTTTTTCCTTAGTCTTGCTTTGGCTACGTGGGCTTTTTAGGTTCCGTATGAATTACAGACACACGGAACCAAACCAAAATCATTGTTCACAGGGATTTTAACCCAGGTGTGCAGATCAAACAAATATTTAATTAGGCATGCAGAACTAAAAGTGAATTTGCCAGAAAAGACATGCCTCACAAACAAATGTAAATTATGTAGAAACAAGGGTGCTCAAATCAGAAAAACATTTGTCATTATACCAGAAAGAATTTACCAGAAAAGACAAAAAATTGTTATTTCAGGAGGGATGTAAAGTCTTTGACTTATCCAAATCAGATGCTGAATGAAGTCAAGAGCTTCTACCCAAAAGTAGGAGGCTCAGCCTGAAAGAAGACCCTCCAGGACAGAAAAGGCAAGCACAGAAACAGAGAGCTCCAGGGGCTCAAGTGAGGACTGCACACCAGTTCCAAGAATGGCTGATTTCTTCCAATAGTGGTCCTACTCCAGGTCCTACGTCTGGACACCATTTATGTCAACCTGAACAACAGAGTTTCTCTCTAAAAGAAAACAGTATTTATTCAGGAATAGTGCCTGGCACTAGGAATATGTGTGCCATGGTAATGTGCATAATCAGGGAGGTAACAGAAGACAAAGGCTTTTAAAGGAGAAATGAGGATTAGGGAATTGTTTTGAGATCATTACCCTTGTCTAAACAGATCAATAGCAAGGGTGACACTAGTCCAAGGCTGGACAGGTAGTTCTTGGGAACATGTTCCTGTGGAAGTATTTTTTGTGTTAAGTTTGCAATGGCTTTTGTGCAAGGTTGTGGTTTTTGCAAAGTCTTTTGTGATAGTTTTTGCTACCAGACATATAGGCATAAAAACCCTCTATTTGCAGCCTTTCTTAGCCCTGTTTGTCATGGACTTTAATTTTTTTTTTTTTAAACACAAATGACTCCATTTTTAGTTCTGACAACTTTCCCGTATGGATGGAGAACTAGAGAGAAGCATGATGGAAGAGCCTGCCCAGGGCCATACAGTTCATGTTGCAGCGCAGGAAAGCAGACCCAGGAGATCTGCCTGCCCTACCAGGGCCTTCTGCCTCCCTGTGATGGCAGCTGCTGGGAAAGGGGGTACCCAGCCTACCTCCATGAAGGGCATTCAGCTGCCTCCTCTGTGGGCCTGTGGCTGCACTGGCTTCCCAGACTGGAGGTTACCGTCTACCTCTCCATACACAGGCCAGCACTGACGTCTCGCAACGGGGAGACCTTGCCACAGCTCTGGGCACCTGTGTAGATGGCCATGCTGCTCCTGGTTGATGGCTTGTCCAGGAGTAAAAAGCTTGTTTTTAAAAATAATTGAGAACAACCTTTAAACCTATTTTCACTATTAGGAAGATATCCCCTGAAAATGTCCCTGGAGTGTTGGCCACCACTGAACACGCCTCCCCTGCACCCCCCACTAGACGGCAGCGTGCCTTCCCTGGCGACTGATGCCAGCCTGGAGGTGCAGGTCAGGGAGAGACTTCCCTCTGTCCTGCATCTGTCCCTGTGGGGAAGCAGGGGCAGAGCCTGGTTCTGGCTTCTGGGAAGCACCTGGATACGATTTTTGTCAACCAAAATAACAAACAGCGTCTCTAAACAGAAATGCTCTTTATTCAGGAACAGGGCATGGAAAACACATGCCAGAGTAAACTATGTGCATATTTAGGGAGGTGAAAAAAAAACAGAGAAAGGTTTTTAAAGGAAAATGAGGAGGATGCCATAATTGTTTTGAAATCATCCTTGGCAAAAAGGTTCTGCCAGTCCTAGGTTGCCAGGCAGTTGCTGAGCTCTGGGAAGCCGAGGTCCTGGCAGCCGAACCCAGTGGGTAGAGAGGTGGATCAAGGCCAGCAGGCAGATGCCCACGCCCTCCCCCACAGTTCAGGAGGCATGAAAAGGGTGTGGGCTCAAGAGTGAGAAGGTTCCATGTCTACACGTTACTGAACTCTCCTGAGCCCACCACGCTCCCACAAAAATGAATAAGTAAATATATAAATAAATAAACACTGGGAAAGAAAGTTACAGACTTAAAACAAACAAAACCAGTCCCCTCTTCAGGCTTCCCCCTTTTGGTAAATGGTGTCACTGTCCAGCCGGTTGTTCTGGTCAAACACTCAAATGTCATCTTTGACTCCTCCGAGCTTCCTCTTCACATCCATCCCACCAGCAAGTCCTGTTGCCTCCATGTGCAAAATATATCCTGGATCTGCCCAACCTGGACAGATTCACTGCACAAGAAATAAAACCCCAACCCCTTTCCAGGGCCCAGGAGGCCCTGCCCCCTGTCCTGGGTCACCTCTTTCCCTCCTTGACAAGGTCAGCGAGTCACTGCCCAGAGCATTGGCACAGGCCACTCTCTCAGCCCCAAGCACCCTTGCCTGGGATCTTTGCCTGGCTGGCTCCTCATCTTTTTAATCTCAGCTGGATTGTCACCTCTTCAGAGAGAATTTATTTTTCATGGAAATTTACAACACTATACGAAGTAGCAAGAATTGTGCCATGAACTTGAAGAAGCCATCACCTACTTTCAATCATTCTTAACCTGCCCCCACCTGCTTTCCTTGGTACCCTTACCACAGAGTATTTTGAAGCAAATCCCTGGCCTTGCATCATTTCACGATCCTCTAGACCAGAAATTGTGACTCTACAAGATAGGAGAAGTCACGCATAATGAAGTGACTGTCCCTTCCCCTCTGGTCCCCTCATGTCCTCTGGTCATGGACATCACAGCACGTTGCACTCTTTATCATCTGTTTTGTCCTGTTTATTTTATTTTTTTACAATTTTGTTTTCTGTGTCCCATGCAATCTCTAAATGTGAGTCCCTTGAGAGCAGGGACTCCCTGCTCTCAAGGGACTCAGCCTGCCTGTTGCTGTTACACAGCAGAGCACTGCACAGGGCCTGGGTGTGGTGGGTACTCACAGGGGTCTCTGTAAGAGGAAGGCAGAGCCCAGATGCTGGTCCTGGGCCACAGAGTCAGCTCTGCATGCTGAGGACAGGCATGGGGAGAGACAGTGGTCAGATGTGTGCATCGACATTCTTCCCATGTCATTTCCTTTTAAATGAACATCCAATTAGTATGGACAAGACTTCCAAAACTTGCCCTGGACCAAAGATAGAAAAACCTGGCAGGAGGCCCTATAGGATAGGAGGCCAGGGAGTCGGGGTTGGGCACAGTGAGGTATACACAATGTGGATGTCCCCCCCCCGCCCCCCGCTGGGGCTGCACGTGTCTGACACTGGGCTAAGGGCACTTTCCCCACCTTTTATCATTGGTAGCCCCAAAGGTATTCAGGGATCTGCAGTGTTCTAGGGTCTGTGAGGAGGGCAGGATGCAGGAGATAATTGCCCGAGGAATGGTACCTTTGCTCCAGGTTGCCTCTCAGAGTTAAGCCAACAGACTCTGTAAATACAGAAGAGCCAGGATGGTGACACCAAGCAGCGGTCCCTGGTCATTTAGGACACGGTCACAATGGCATGAGACCCCATGCAGGGCCCCTCACTGCCTGACCCGCTTACCCTTTGGTCATCATTGCTGAGTTGACCTGCAAGTGTTTGGGGAATGACCTCTCATGACCCATGCTGTCCACTGGCCAAGGGCAAGAACTGCATCTCTCCAGGCTGGGTCTCGCCATCTGTGTTTTCTGTGCTTTAGGGAGTACTTTATTGAAGTCAGCTTGAACAACGGCAAAACATTCTTCAAGAGCAATGTCAGCGTCACCAGCAACACATGTGTGAGTACCAGGATGGGGCTGCAAACACGTATGAGGACTGTCCAGAGTCTCTGCACTAGAAGGAGATATACCCTGGGGAGGACAGAAAGGGCAGGCAGTTCCCAGGCAGTCCCAGAAAGCAGTGTGTGCAGCAGGCACCTGAGGCTGCTCCAACCAGGCTTCCAGATGGTGCAGGTGGGTGAAGCTAGGAGGCTGTCTGCCAGGAGCCAGAGTCCAGCACCTCCTGGGTGTCCAGCTTCTCCACATGGACCTCCCAGGCCCAGGAGTTCTGGAGGATTCCACACACTGCCGTCAGGGTGTGTGTGTGCTACTGAACTGGTGCCCCAGCTGCTGATCTGGTCCTAAACCCACTCATGACCCTGGCCCCCGAGCCTGCCTGGTTGTAACCTGCTGTCATTGCCCAGATGCCTTGAACCTTTCTGCCTCTGCTCCTTGCTTGAGTCCCTGAGATGTCCCTCTCCGCTCCCTCGCTGAGTTCTGCATTTCGTCCCCTCCTGTTGGATGAAGGGGAGGCTCTAGGGCACTGGGACCTGGGCTCAGCTCCAAGAGGCCCCTGGGAATGGAGATGCTGTATCCTAAGAGTCTGCCCTTCAGAGCTCCACATCTTTGGGCAGCTTGGCCCAGGGCCACATAGGCAGGAGGATGTGCTGGAGGGACGCGCGGGAGGCCTGAGCCCACTCCACTGCCTTGTACCCAGTCTTATATGTGAGGACTCACCAGTGTTGACAGTCCTCCCTCTGGGTCTCCCCTTGCCTGTCCCTGCATATCCACGCATGGATTAGCAGGCTGAACACACACATTCCCCATCAGGAATCCACCCACTAAAGGCTCCACGGTGACAGGCATATCAGGAGCAGCCCTGGGGCTCCAGCCTCACCAGCGGCCTTCATGCTCAGCCTCAGTGGTTCCTCTCCTTCAGCCAGCTGGGTTCTCAGCACAGGCCCCCTCTCCTCCTCTCCCCTTCCCTCCCTGCCCTCCCTGCCCTCCCCATCTTTCTCTCTAAACAGAGCTCTGGGTTTGGGGAAGGCCTGGGCAGCTTGTATTCGCATGGATGTCGCCCAAGTTCCCTTCATTGTGAAGAACACCCAGAGAAGAGTTCCTGTTGCTTACACCCCATGTGGCCTGGTTCTGAGCCAGGACTTTGTCTGAGCTCTCTAAACCTCACAAGTGCCCCCAGGGAGGGAGGCCCATTCTCTTCACAGAGGTGTGGAGGCTGAGGCTCAGAGCGGTGTGTGGATGTGCCCACAGTGCAGAGCCTGGAAGTGGGGATATAGGCTGTTGGGGATGGACCTGGGTTTCCTGTCCTTGCTCCTGCACCTGCACCTCTCTTGGCCACAGCGCCCCCACCCTTGCCCATCATTGTACCTGGAGATTTTGGGGTCCTCCCAGAAGCCTTGTGCTGCAGGCAAGGTGTGCAGTGAGGGGGGGTTTGTCAGACAGTGTGAGCTTCCAGGACTTTCTTGACAGGGCTCTTGGGCAGAGACTTTCAGCGGGTCCAGAGGAGGGGTTTGTAGTTCCCTTGGGAGCATCCCTTATCCCCAACCCCACTATTGTGCCTTGAGGTGGGACCACCTGTAGAGAAGGGGGAGTGGGCAGATGGGCCCCCAATTGGTGGGCACCAGGATGAGGCTACCCAGGCCCTCCCAGGCCTGGCATTCCTCTGTCCCTTAGACGTGGTTCATGGTGCTGTCTTTCTCCACCAGGGCATTTTTCGCAACTGGCTCTATTTTGTGCCACCCCTGCTGCTTGCACCACTGCTACTGTGTTGTGTCTGGTGGCTGTGCTGCAAGAAGGCAAGTGATTTTTCCCCACCCAGCCCTGGGGCCCAGGTACAGGCCCGTCCTCTGAGGGACTCTAACATGTGACTGCCCCATGATCCAGCCTGTGGGAAGTTTCCCTCAGCTCCTGGCTCATCACATGAGCCCAGGGAGTGGCAGACCTGTCCACACATTCCCAGAGCCTAGCAAGCCTGGGCTTCTGCAGGACCTCCTGCCCCGGGCTGGCCACATAGAGCTGGCCTGGGATGCCGTGGACAAGGGGGTGAGGCCTGCCCTGGCTCCTAGAGAAAAGTGACCCCAGAACCCCTGAAACCAGGGCTGCCTCAACAATCGGGACTTCTGGAAGCCTCAGATGGACAAGGGCCAGGAGGCAGCCTCTGTGTGAAGGGAGGAAGAGAGGGTCCCCCCTGAGGTCCTGATGGCCCAAATGGAGGATGGTGCTGTAACTCCCAGCTGTCTGTGACTTGGGAAACCAGGATGGATCTCGGTACATGTCTGGTGCCTTCCCCATTCCTTCATCTGTCTTTCCTGAGCTCCAGCTTCCCCTGGGCCCCATGCTGGGCTGGGGAGGGACAGAAATGAAGCTCCCCACGGGCAGCTCACAGTCCTGGTTTGTCGGGGCTGAGAGTGAAATGTCAACCCCACAGAAGTGGGAAGGGCCCCCTATAAGGCAGAGCAGGAGACAAAAGCAGAGATGGAGCCCAGGGCAGGGAGAGTGTCAGGGGCGCTGGGAGCTGGGGCAGAAAAAGCCAGCCCAGAGAGCTGCAGACAGAGGACAGAGCAGAGGGAGGAGAGGACAGAGCTCAGCCCCGTCCCCAGGCTCCAGATGCGGATGTGGCTCCGTTTGGCTTCTCTGGATCCCTGTCTCCTGGCAGGGATGAGGGGTTGGCTGGGGTTAGCTTCTAGGGACTGCAGGGCTGAGGGGTGAAGGAGTCCTGGCGGGCACCAAACTGGGAGGGACACCAGCCCAGTGAACACAGGGACCAGGAGTCTGGGAGCAGGCTGTGGCTTACCTGGGCTGGGGACCCACCCCAGGGGCCATATGCAGTGGTGAGTAACTGAGGCAGGAGGCCCTGGGCCTGAGACAGGGTGGGAACAGGCCTCCCTGGTCAAGGATGGCCTCTGCGGTGCTATGTAGTGGGCCCAGGGAGGCTGCATCTGCAACCAGGTGGATGCAGACAGTCATCTGCAAATGCTGGAACCATTGCACAGCCCCCAGGACAGGCTTCCTCCAACAAGGCTGGCCTCGGGAGAACCAAGGCGACTGGGACGAAGTTGTTAGTATTTAGGGGAAGAGGCATGTCTGCAAACCAGGAAGTTTGCGTGTTTCTTACGTGAAGGACGGTCCCCTGTGGTGTGGGCTCCTCACTAGTCCTTTCACTTCCCAGACACACATCTGGGAGTGGCCAGCACTGTGCCCGGTGCTGAGGCAATGACACCATACCCTTGCTCTTAAGAGTTGTCTGAAAAGTCAGCAAACCATTGTTGTTGTTGTTTTTTTTTTTGGTGCTAGAGCAGGAGATACCACCATTTCCACCACCACAACTTCCGCATCCACTGCCTCCGCCCCCGGCTCCTGTAAACACCTGCCCCACTGTGATTGTTGCTGTGGGTGTCAAGGAGTGTGCGGGATGAGAGGGGTAGAGGTGAGAAGCACAGTGGAGAGGGGCTGCAATCCCCAGGCTACGACTACGGGAGGAGGAGCAGCTGGGTCCCACTGCAGAGACCAGGCCCTTCCTGGAGGAAGGCAGACTCTATGGAGGATGGACTTTGGTCACCTGGTGCCCAGAGAAACCAGAGGTCCACCTCATGCTAGTGCCCCAGTGGCAGGCATATGTGAGGGATCCTGTCCCCTGCACTACCAGGTCTGTCCCCACACATTGAACTCCCTCCCTAGAAGGATCCGTTTCTGTACAGTGGCAGCTTTTGATGTCTGACTGGTTCCTGGTTCCCACAGGGGTGCCTCAGCTCTGGCAGTGGCCTCGGCTTTAAACCACCTGTCTGCAGGTGCATGGATCAAGCAACCTGAGTCACAAAAGGTCATGTAGATCAGAAAAAAAAAAATAGAATTGACCAGTCCTGACACGCATTCTCACCACAACAAACACTGCAAGGATGCCAGGGGCACCTGCCAGCCCAGGCAGCAGGATCTTCAGGCAGTGAGGAAAAGCTGTCCCTGAGTGGGCTTGTCACCTGCTGAGATGGGCTGACAGGCACTGCAGGGAGGGGAGGAGGTGGAGACCCGAAAGCGCCCTCACAAGACACCTGTGCAGGAGCTCGAGCCCCGGAGCCAACACAACCACTCTCCCTGAGGAAACCTCCTTCCCAGGCAGGTACAGGCCCATCTTGCTGAGGGGAACCCAGCCAGGCAGCAGCAGGGGCCCTGCACAGGGGTAGAGAAGGCGCCTGGGTGGCTGGTGTTGAGGGAGAAGGACCCCAGAGTTCCTGCCTGGTCTGCCCCTCTCCCCCTTGGTCCTGTCTCTGTCTGTGGTCAGATCTCTTGCTTCCTCCTGGGAGTGTCAGGCTCCTCTGCAGCCTCAGTGGGTATCTGGGGAAGCCAGGCCTGTCTCTCCCCAGAGTGTGGGGCACAGAGAAGCTGAAACACAGCCTCTAGGGGCAGGAGGTCACCTGCCAGCGGCCTGCACTGCCTTGCAATGCACGGCCCTCATCCCATCCCCACCAGGGCCCAGAAAGGCCTGACTGCAGCAACCAGTGGCCAAGGGGCTGCCCGCCGTGGGTCCTGGGCTGCTTTCTGGCCTGTTTTTCTCTGCCTTCCTCTTCTCTCTTCCCTGGGGTCAGGTACCTACCCCCTGAGCAGGGCATGGTCCTCTCACCTGCCTTCCCCTTGTGTGACCCAGCAGCAAGGCTCCTCCTCCCTCCTGGCCAGGCCCCCATGCTGGGCCCCCAGGCCTAACTCATGCTCCCCTTCAGGACCTCTGCTTGGAACCACAGGCTCCTCCCACCTTTAGACTTTTCCTGTGAATCTGCCCCTGGCTTTTCTTCTTTCTACAACCAAAGTACTTTTTGGTCCAGATTCCAAAACTCTCTGTGGCCACAGTGACCACGTCTCCAACATGCAACCCTGCCAGGCCCCTCCTCCAGGGGGAAATGGGAGCTTTCTCTGGGTGTGTTCCTTGGAACAGAGCCATGGAGGGCTGGGGAGTCCTGAGAAGGCATCCAGGCTGCATGGCTTCATCGTGGCCACGCTGCTTTTCAGGGCAA